ACCTTCGAAACCAAATCACAATCACCTTCGAAACCACAATCACAATCACCTTCGAAACCACAATCACAATCACCTTCGAAACAATCCAATCACCTTCGAAACCACAATCACAATCACCTTCGAAACCACAATCACAATCACCTTCGAAACCACAATCACAATCACCTTCGAAACCACAATCACAATCACCTTCGAAACCACAATCACAATCACCTTCGAAACCACAATCACAATCACCTTCGAAACCAAACAATCACAATCACCCTTCGAAACCACAATCCAAATCACCTTCGAACCAACCACAATCACCGAATCCAACACAATCACCTTCGAAACCACAATCACAATCACCTTCGAAACCACAATCACAATCACCTTCGAAACCACAATCACAATCACTTCGAAAACCACAATCACAATCCACCTTCGAAACCACAATCACAATCACCTTCGAAACCACAATCACAATCACCTTCGAAACCACAATCACAATCACCTTCGAAACCACAATCACAATCACCTTCGAAACCAACAATCACAATCACCTTCGAAACCACAATCACAATCACCTTCGAAACCACAATCACAAATCACCTTCGAAACCACAATCACAATCACCTTCGAAACCCACAATCACCAATCACACCTTCGAAACCACAATCACAATCACCTTCGAAACCACAATCACAATCACCTTCGAAACCACAATCACAATCACCTTCGAAACCACAATCAACAATCACCTTCGAAAACCACAATCAACAATCACCTTCGAAACCACAATCACAATCACCTTCGAAACCACAATCACAATCACCTTCGAAACCACAATCACAATCACCTTCGAAACCACAATCACAATCACCTTCGAAACCACAACACAATCACCTTCGAAACCCACAATCACAATCACCTTCGAAACCACAACACAATCACCTTCGAAACCACAATCACAATCACCTTCGAAACCACAAATCACAATCACCTTCGAAACCACAATCACAATCACCTTCGAAACCACAATCACAATCACCTTCGAAACCACAATCACAATCACCTTCGAAACCACAATCACAATCACCTTCGAAACCACAATCACAATCACCTTCGAAACCACAATCACAATCACCTTCGAAACCACAATCACAATCACCTTCGAAACCACAATCACAATCACCTTCGAAACCACAATCACAATCACCTTCGAAACCACAATCACAATCACCTTCGAAACCACAATCACAATCACCTTCGAAACCACAATCACAATCACCTTCGAAACCACAATCACAATCACCTTCGAAACCACAAATCACAATCACCTTCGAAACCACAATCACAATCACCTTCGAAACCACAATCACAATCACCTTCGAAACCACAATCACAATCACCTTCGAAACCACAATCACAATCACCTTCGAAACCACAATCACAATCACCTTCGAAACCACAATCACAATCACCTTCGAAACCACAATCACAATCACCTTCGAAACCACAATCCACAATCACCTTTCGAAACCACAATCACAATCACCTTCGAAACCACAATCACAATCACCTTCGAAACCACAATCACAATCACTTCGAAACCACAATCAACCAAATCACCTTCGAAACCACAATCACAATCACCTTCGAAACCACAATCACAATCACCTTCGAAACCCACAATCACAATCACCTTCGAAACCACAATCACAATCACCTTCGAAACCACACAATCACCTTCGAAACCCAATCACCTTCGAAACCACAATCACATCACCTTCGAAACCACAATCACAATCACCTTCGAAACCACAATCACAATCACCTTCGAAACCACAATCACAATCACCTTCGAACCACAATCACAATCACCTTCGAAACCACAATCACAATCACCTTCGAAACCACAATCACAATCACCTTCGAAACCACAATCACAATCACCTCGAACCACAATCACAATCACCTTCGAAACACAATCAAATCACCTTCGAAACCACAATCACAATCACCTTCGAAACCACAATCACAATCACCTTCGAAACCACAATCACAATCACCTTCGAAACCACAATCACAATCACCTTCGAAACCACAATCACAATCACCTTCAAACACAATCACAATCACCTTCGAAACCACAATCACAATCACCTTCGAAAACCACAATCACAATCACCTTCGAAACCACAATCACAATCACCTTCGAAACCACAATCACAATCACCTTCGAAACCACAATCACAATCACCTTCGAAACCACAATCACAATCACCTTCGAAACCACAATCACATCACTTCGAAACCACAATCACAATCCTTCGAAACCACAATCACAATCACCTTCGAAACCCAAACAATCACTTCGAAACCACAATCACAACCTTCGAAACCACAATCACAATCACCTTCGAAACCACAATCACAATCACCTTCGAAACCACAATCACAATCACCTTCGAAACCACAATCACAATCACCTTCGAAACCACAATCACAATCACCTTCGAAACCACAATCACAATCACTTCGAAACACAACCCATTCAAAACCACAATCACAACACCTTCGAAAACCAAACAAATCATAAACAATCAACACTTCGAAACCACAATCACAATCACCTTCGAAACCACAATCACAATCACCTTCGAAACCACAATCACAATCACCTTCGAAACCACAATCACAATCACCTTCGAAACCACAATCACAATCACCTTCGAAACCACAATCACAATCACCTTCGAAACCACAATCACAATCACCTTCGAAACCACACAATCACTCACAAATCATCACCTTCGAAACCACAATCACAATCACCTTCGAAACCACAATCACAATCACTTCGAAACCACAATCACAATCACCTTCGAAACCACAATCACAATCACCTTCGAAACCACAATCACAATCACCTTCGAACCACATCACAATCACCTTCGAAACCACAATCACAATCACCTTCGAAACCACAATCACAATCACCTTCGAAACCACAATCACAATCACCTTCGAAACCACAATCACAATCACCTTCGAAACCACAATCACAATCACCTTCGAAACCACAATCACAATCACCTTCGAAACCACAATCACAATCACCTTCGAAACCACAATCACAATCACCTTCGAAACCACAATCACAATCACCTTCGAAACCACAATCACAATCACCTTCGAAACCACAATCACAATCACCTTCGAAAACCACAATCACAATCACCTTCGAAACCACAAAATCACAATCACCTTCAAACACAATCAAATCACCTTCGAAACCACAATCACAATCACCTTCGAAACCACAATCACAATCACCTTCGAAACCACAATCACAATCACCTTCGAAACCACAATCACAATCACCTTCGAAACCACAATCACAATCACCTTCGAAACCACAATCACAATCACCTTCGAAACCACAATCACAATCACCTTCGAAACCACAATCACCAATCACCCTTCGAAACCACAATCACAATCACCTTCGAAACCACAATCACAATCACCTTCGAAACACAATCACAATCACCTTCGAAACCACAATCACAATCACCTTCGAAACCACAATCACAATCACCTTCGAAACCAAACAAATCACCTTCGAAACCACAATCACAATCACCTTCGAAACCACAATCACAATCACCTTCGAAACCACAATCACAATCACCTTCGAAACCACAATCACAATCACCTTCGAAACCACAATCACAATCACCTTCGAAACCACAATCACAATCACCTTCGAAACCACAATCACAATCACCTTCGAAACCACAATCACAATCACCTTCGAAACCACAATCACAATCACCTTCGAAACCACAATCACAATCACCTTCGAAACCACAATCACAATCACCTTCGAAACCACAATCACAATCACCTTCGAAACCACAATCACAATCACCTTCGAAACCACAATCACAATCACCTTCGAAACCACAATCACAATCACCTTCGAAACCACAATCACAATCACCTTCGAAACCACAATCACAATCACCTTCGAAACCACAATCACAATCACCTTCGAAACCACAATCACAATCACCTTCGAAACCACAATCACAATCACCTTCGAAACCACAATCACAATCACCTTCGAAACCACAATCACAATCACCTTCGAAACCACAATCACAATCACCTTCGAAACCACAAATCACCACAATCACATCACTTCGAAACCACAATCACAATCACCTTCGAAACCACAATCACAATCACCTTCGAAACCACAATCACAATCACCTTCGAAACCACAATCACAATCACCTTCGAAACCACAATCACAATCACCTTCGAAACCACAATCACAATCACCTTCGAAACCACAATCACAATCACCTTCGAAACCACAATCACAATCACCTTCGAAACCACAATCACAATCACCTTCGAAACCACAATCACAATCACCTTCGAAACCACAATCACAATCACCTTCGAAACCACAATCACAATCACCTTCGAAACCACAATCACAATCACCTTCGAAACCACAATCACAATCACCTTCGAAACCACAATCACAATCACCTTCGAAACCACAATCACAATCACCTTCGAAACCACAATCACAATCACCTTCGAAACCACAATCACAATCACCTTCGAAACCACAATCACAATCACCTTCGAAACCACAATCACAATCACCTTCGAAACCACAATCACAATCACCTATTGTTCCTACTGTTGACGTTACGTCAGTACCTCTGTTTTCACTAATTATCCTGCACGTGTGCCTTGCGCTGCTATAGGAGACAGAGATCATTATTGAGGCCCTTCCCTGCTAACTACCCCTTTTGCACTCCTGATGCCTGACTGCACTACGCTTTCCTTCCCACTCCTTATCACCCCTGCACGTGTGCCTTGCGGTGCTAGAGGAGAAAGATACTACCATCGTAACCCCTAGCTGCTGCTACTGTTGGCCTGGCTTCAGAACCCCTGTTTCCACTCCCTATTACTCCTTATCACCCCTTCAGGTGTGCCTTGCACTGCTAGAGGAAACAGAGATCACCATCGAAACCCCTTCCCGCTACCGACGAGCCGACTCCACTCTCCGCACCGATTCAGCAGTCCGGGGAGAAAGCAGCCAGGCAGCTCAGCAGCAGCAGCAGCAACAGCAGGAACAACAGCAAGGGGGCGTGCAACAGGCACGGCCCCAGACCCCGTCTCCGCAGCAAGCAGAGCGTCAGCGGCGGCAGCAGGAGCGGGATGAGCCAGGGGTGAGGTTGCAGCAGGAGCAGCTGCAACTGCAGCACCAGCACCAGCAGCAGCTGCAGCAGCTGTTGTTTCAGCAGCAGCAGCAGCTGCAGCTACAGCAGCAGCAGATGCAGCAGCAGCTGCTGATGTTGCATCAACTCATCCTCCCATCTCAGCAGCAGCAACAGCAGCAGCAGGGGCAGGCAGGGGGGCAAGACCAAACACCTGAGCAAACACCTTTGTGGGAAATCCAACCCCAGGTTCAACAAGTGTCTCCCACACCAGGGCTGACCCTCTCGCCGCACCTATCAGCTAGCTTCGTCAATCTCGCCGAAGCTGCTCGGAGAGCGAGCAGCTCAAACTCTGAAGGGGCTTTAAGTACCGTTGGAGAGGACATTCAATCTGTGTCAGGGGAATCGGAGGAGAGCCTGCATGCCAAGAGGAAGAAGAAGCAGAGTGCATCGACTGCTGCGGCGGATGCGGCTGAGGCTGCTGAAGATGCTGCGTTCTTCGAAGGGAGAATGAGCAGCGGGACGACTGTGGGTGACTTTGCAAGCAGCTTGTCTCCGTTTTTGGAGACCGAGGGGACCTTTCAAGGACTTGATTGATCTGCTTGCATAACTATACTAACTAACTGCACTGCACTCGTGGACCAATGGGACGGAATTCATGTACTGTGATTGTATTGCAGTGTTCTTCCTTCCATCCCATAATGCATCTTTGATGGTTACAGTAGGACCACTCAGCTCGGCGTGTCTGTGTGTGTTCTTCCTTTCCCTTCCCCGCCCTCATGGTCGGACACAGCAACCAAGAAAGCTACAAGTGACCACGTCTCTTACGATTGGAGCAAAAGGGGTTGAGCTATTTCTTGAGTTCGCAAAGATGCTTACAAGACCAAGCGCGTCTAACGGGCATGTTCCATCAACAGGACAATACTCCCCACATCTACGGATATTGGCACTATGTGGGCGCATTCGGAAGCCTCAAATCACACAAATTTGGCAGGAAAAGCATGTTGATTACGTGCACTTATGCCAATTCCCACCCGCCCCTTTAGATCACGCTAGTACCTTTTGATCCATCTACAAACAGAAATGTTAACATATAAAGTCACTAATGATGATTCTCAGAGGGAAAAAAACTAATATAAATGTCCAAAATGTGTGAGGTAGGAATGCCATGTGGTCTACTTTATTGATGTACCAAAATGTTTTGGAGGGTGAATGCTCTTTTGTTGACATAACATAACATATTGTTATTTCGCAAAGTCTCTGATTATTTTTCCATACACCTGCGGTGCGGCTGGGACCGAACATCTGCGTCTCGAGAATACGATTTCGTACGCCTTCGTCTCGTAGTGCATGTCTTACCAACCCATCCCCCGATCCGGCTCCCCAGCCGGTGGGGGGGGTGTTTCATAGCTACAGTGCACTACAGAAAACAGCTCCCCCAGCCCAGCTCTCGCCAGCCTGCATAAGCGTTTAGACTCTAGACTCAAGACTAGGCTATGAGGTTTGCGCTTAGGGCACGGCGGCAGCACCTCGTCTCCGCTATTGGAGAGATGAGGCGCTTTTTTCGCCGTCATGCTACTATAACGAGAGCCGCAGTCACGCTACTAGCATAGAGTAGTACTCTAACGAAGGTTATTTTTCGCAGTAGATTATTCGAGAGGCGCTTTCGTGGAGTCACGCCCGTCCCGCCCCATGGCGATCGAATTCCCCCTTGCGCGCAGTTCAACGAGAGGCGATTTGCCGCGGGCGCAATCTTTGCGCCAATGCGCGGGCGTGCTCGCCGCCCTGTGCTCCGCGCTGCTGGTTATGGGCGGATGGTGGCCTCCGGTCGCGGACGCAGGAGTGCCCGTCGCTGACTCAGATTGTACGTTACAGCTGGCTGCTCGTTGACTGACGATGGCTGCTCGCTGATTGCCGATGACTGACTTTGACCGTCAAATCTCGCTCGCTCCAGTATCCTCCTCGCAAGGCGCTCCCCCGCTTGCCCCATTTCGCCATCCTTCCCCCAATGCAACCCCTCTCTTGCCCCATTTCCCCATCTCCCTCCCCCCATTCGCCCCGCCCTTGCTCCATTTCCCCATCTCCCCCCCCCATTCGCCCCACCCTTGCCCCATTTCCCCATCTCCCCCCCCCCCCATTCGCCCCGCCCTTGCCCCATTTCCCCATCTCCCCCCCCCATTCGCCCCGCCCTTGCCCCATTTCCCCATCTCCCCCCCCCCATTCGCCCCTCTCTTGCCCCATTTCCCCATCTCCCCCCCCCCATTCGCCCCGCCCTTGCCCCATTTCCCCATCTCCCCCCCCCATTCGCCCCGCCCTTGCCCCATTTCCCCATCTCCCCCCCCCCATTCGCCCCTCTCTTGCCCCATTTCCCCATCTCCCCCCCCCCCATTCGCCCCGCTCTTGCCCCATTTCCCCATCCCCCCCCCATTCGCCCCGCCCTTGCCTCATTTCCCCATCCCCCCCCATTCGCCCCGCCCTTGCCTCATTTCCCCATCCCCCCCCATTCGCCCCGCCCTTGCCTCATTTCCCCATCCCCCCCCCGATTCGCCCCGCCCTTGCCCCATTTCCCCATCCTCCCCCCATTTCGCCCCGCCCTTGCCCCATTTCCCCATCCCCCCCCATTCGCCCCATTTCTCCATCCTCCCCCCAATGCAACCCCCGCTTGCCCCATTCTCCCATCCTCCCCCCAATGCGTGCCTGCAGGGCGCGCATTAGTGACGATCCGAGACGCGCTGCAGTTTGCAGTGGCTGACAGGAGCCCCAAGGCGCACTGGAAGAGCGGCAGGGAGTGACTGCACTGCTCCTCCGTCTGTTCTCCGCTTCCCATTGCTTGCAGGGCGCGCATTAGTCACAATCCGAGACGCCCTGCAGTTCGCAGTGGCGGACAGGAGCCCCAAGGCGTACTGGAAGAGCGGCAGGGACTGCGAGCTGCTGTTCGGCGTCGTGTGCAATGGCAAGGGATCCGTCACTGCACTGTATGCTTGTGGTTACAACGGGGGTTGGGGCGAAAGGAGGAGTGTGTAAAGGGGTGTTATAGGGGGGGGAATGGGGTTTGAGGAATGGGAGGGACTGCGAGCTGCTGTTCGGCGTCATGTGCAACGACAAAGGATCCGTCACTGCGCTGTACGCTTGCTACAATGGGGAGGGTTGTTGGTGGGGGGGGGAAGGAGGGGGGGTGGGGGGGTTGGGTTCTGAGGCGCCTCAAACGTGTGCAACGGTAGGGGATCCGTCATCACTCACTGCACTGTATGCGTGCTACAGCCGCACTGCGCTTGCTACATACGTGTCCATATCTCCCTCCCCCTGTCTCATCCCTCCCTCCCTCACAGCACATTGTACGGAGTGGTGGGGCCACTTCCCAATGCTCTTGTTGAGAGGTACCGAATCGATTCCTGCGCATGGCCCTTACGCCCTCCCTCCCTCCCTCCCTCACAGCACATTGTACGGAGTGGTGGGGCCGCTTCCCGATGCTATTGGCAACCTCCCCTCCCTCGCTCTCCTGTGAGTTCCCCTCATATTCCGCTGCTGGTGTACCCCTCTCCCCGCCATCTCCCCGCCCCTTCCCCGACCTCTCCCCGACCTCTCCCCGCCCTCTCCCCGCCCTCTCCCCGCCCTCTCCCCGCCCTCTCAATCCTATTCCATTTAGCTCAGGTAGCAATTCAGTCACCACTCTACCCTCTACCCTCTGACTGCTCCCATTCCCCAATGCGTGCCTCTCCCCCTCTCCCCCTCTCCCCCTCTCCCCCTCTCCTCCCCTCCTTCTTCCCCTCTCAGGTCAGCCAGCAATCGGGTCACCTCGCTGCCCTCCACCCTCTATCTCCTTCCCTCACCCTCCCACCATTTCTTTCCCTCACCCTCTCACCCTCCCACCGTTTCTTTCCCTCACCCTCTCACCCTCCCACCATTTCTTTCCCTTACCCTCTCACCCTCCCCCAATTCAGGTCAGCCGGCAATCGAGTCACCACGCTGCCCTCCACTCTCTCGCGCCTCAGCTCAGTCCTCCTCCGCCTGTGAGTCCGAGTGAACACCACTGTGTGAACAAAGAGTGGGGAGTTTCACACAGTGGTGTTCACCACTTCGCTAGGAGTAGAGGGTTGACAGCTCCTCCCCCTCCGCCTGTGAGTGCCCCTCCGCTTGTGAGTGCCCCTCTGCCTGTGAGTGCCCCTCCGCCTGTGAGTGCCCCTCCGCCTGTGAATATCAGTCTCATCTGTCTCTGTGAGTGTGCTCCTCACGCTCGTGCATCCTATCGTGAGGAGTCTATTTTTGAGGCACCTCAAAAATAGGCGCCACAAAAATAGGCGCCTCAAAAATAGACTCTGTGCGTGTGCTCCGCATGCTCGTGCATCCTATCGAATTCAGTTCATTTTTGAGGCGCCTCAAAAATGTACTCAAGAGATGTTGCTCTCCTCTTCCATCTCTCACTTCCACCATGCCTGTACTGTACTATATCTCTCCCCTTTGCAGTCACCTGAGCAGCAAGGCTATGTCCGGCCCTTTCCCATCAGCCATGCTTTGGATTCAATGCAAAGCGTCGCCTCAGCCCTCTCTTAACTGCTTCCTCTACTTCTCTTCCACCACGCCTCTCCATCCCCCTTGCACTGCAGTCACCTGAGCAGCAACGCTATGTCCGGCCCTTTCCCATCAGTCATCACCACACTCACTGCCCTGCAGCAGATGTGAGTCCAAACAAACTCCATGTGTACCCTAACACACTCACTGCCCTGCAGCAGATGTGATGTGAGTCCCCATCCTATCCTCACTCACACCCAGCAATCACCGCACTCACCTGAGTCAACTTGCAAATATTTCCCATCAGTCATCGCCACACTCACCGCGCTGCAGCAGATGTGAGTCCGAGCGGACTCAATGTGTACCCAAACACACTCACTCTCACTCCTGCAAACTCGATTCTCTTCCTGCTTGCGACCCCCAATACCGTCTTTTGAATTTTGATTCGATTCGAAACTCTTTCCCGGCGTTCTTAATCCCTGAGTTCTCCCGTCCCCCCCTCCCTATTCCGTGGTAAGCAGCAAGCACTCTCTTTTCTGTCCTCACCAAACCTCCTCCCCCCCCCCAAAACAGCAACATTGCTCAGAATCGCCTCACTGGCCCAATTCCTCTGCGCATCTCCCGACTTACTGCACTCACCTTCTCTCTATGCCCTTCAAACCCCTTCTCTTCCCTGCAAACCCCTACTCTCCCCTCTCCCCTTCCCTCAAAACAGCAACATGGCTCAGAATCGTCTCACTGGCCCCATTCCTGTGGGCATATCCAAACTTACTGCTCTTACATTCCTGTATGTGGGTTGCTGGGATAGAACTCCTGGGAGAACTCCTGGGAGAACTCCTGGGAGAACTCCCGGGAGAACTCCTGGGAGAACTCCTGGGAGTTCTTACACACACTGCCTTAACCTTCCTGTATGGAACTCGTACTCGCCTCCATACCCTCCCTCCACGTGTGTAACCAGCACCCATGCAACCAGAACCCATGTAACCAGCACCCATGTAACCAGAACCCGTGTAACCAGCACCCGTGTAACCAGCATCCGTGTAACCAGCACACTCACCCTAAAATGTACTCCCTCATATGGCCTTCACTCTTTTCCTAGATCCTCCCCTTTCCTTTTTTCCCTTCTTTTCTCCACTGCTTCCCTTCCAACCACCCCCAATTCCCCTCCCATGCCCTTGTTGAGGTCCATGCTAGGTGCCCTCCCATGCCCTCCCAACTCCCCAACTCCAGGTTGAGGTCCATGCTAGGTGCCCTCCCATGCCCTCCCAACTCCCCAACTCCAGGTTGAGGTCCATGCTAGGTGCCCTCCTCCCATGCCCTCCCAACTCCCCAACTCCAGGTTGAGGTCCATGCTAGGTGCCCTCCCATGCCCTCCCAACTCCCCAACTCCACTGCTTCCCTTCCAACCACCCCCAACCACCCCAACCACCCCAACCCCCCAACCACCCCAACCACCCCCAACCACCCCCAACCACCCCCAACCACCCCCAATTCCCCAACCCCCAACTCCACTGCTTACATATTCTCTCTGCCTGCCCATGGACTCGAGCCCATTGTCCGGACCCCTGTGCAAACACACACTCACCCCACCCGCCAGTTCTTCTCTTCTCCTCTCTCCTCTCTCTCCTTCCTATTGCAGGCGCATGGACACCAACCTACTGTCCGAGGCCATCCCACCGCAGATATCAACTCTCACTGCTCTCACATACCTGTATGGTCACCTGCTCCCCTCTCAAATACTCCTCTTACCCCTCTCAGTACACCTCTCTATTCCCCTCTCTCTTCCCATCTCTCTTACACGTCTCCCTGACGCCATCCCGTTTTTGCGTCGCCTAAAAAAACACAAATCCTCTTTCATTCTCCCCCCCCCCTCCCCCTCCCCCGTTACAATCCCAGGTCTTTAAGGAACAACAATTTGACTGGACCCATTCCCCCTTCGCTTTTGAGATTGCAAGCTCTGCAGACCCTGTAAGTGATGGTCACCTCAACCACTGCAGACCATGTGAGTGACCGGTCTCCTCACTTGCATGGGTGGTGGGAGAGGGAACCCACCATTACTCCACCCATCTTCTCCTCTCCCCCCCCCCACTTCTTCCCTCCTCATTTTGCCCCTTCCTATTTCCTTCCTCCCAAAGGCATCCGCAGCGACACACTCACCCAAGCCATCCTCTCCCTCCCTTCACTCATCATAAATCCCCTTTCCCAACTCCCTCTTCTCCTCCTTCCCCTTTCCCTTTTCCCATCTTCCCATTCCCATCCCCCTTCCGTTCTCCCCCTTCTCCCCATCCTTCTTCCTTCTCCCCCTTCTCCCCATCCCCCTTCCGTTCTCCCCCTTCTCCCCATCCCCCTTCCTTCTCCCTCTTTTCCCCATCCCCCTTCCTTCTCCCACTTTTCCCCATCCCCCTTCCTTCTCCCTCTTTTCCCCATTCCCCGTCTTCCTCCCAGTGACATCCGCAGCAACGCACTCACTGGGCCCATCCCCTCTGAGGTCGGAGCACTATCCAAGCTGGCGTGGCTGTAAGTTCTGGTCTCAATCCACTCAAATCACATGTTGTTGTCCATGATTGTATTCCCCTAAAAAGGTGCCATTCCCTCTCTGAGGTCGAAGCGCTATCCAAGATTAGCATGGCTGTAAGTTCTGGTCTCAGTCATCTCGAAACACACCTCGTGGACGGCTTCTTTGTAGTCGACTCAAAAGGCGCCATCCCCCCTGAGATTGGAGGCACTCTCAAAAGTGCTAGCTTGCGTGCCTATATGATAGCCCCTTCTCTCCCTCCACTTTCTTTCCTTCCTCCCACTTGCCCCCCTCCAGCCCCCCTCCCACGTTGGCCCCCCCACCATCTCTACCCACTCTCTTCTGCCTCCCTCTCTCTCCACTCCCCACTCCCCACTCCCCACTCCACCCTCCCCACTCACGCTTCCTTCATTCACCTGCTGCAGCTATCTCAACAGCAATCGACTCACAGGCCCTATTCCAGCCACTATTGGCAAGCTAACCCGACTGCGAAACCTGTAAGCGGTAGTGCAAGGTAGTGCATGGTACTAGTGTGTGGCGTCGCCAGCAAGACAGCTCGCAACCCATCTGCTACTATTGGCCAGCTAAACCAAATGTGATATCTCTAAGCGAGAGAAGCTACATGCGCATCACTACTACGACGTTACACAAGCACGCACTGCCTTCAGAATGCAAGCACTACCACTTGCTAAGCACTTGCTAACCACGCACATCATGCTTTTCAAATAGCTGTGAGACCCTTTCCTATGTTCAATCCCTCATCCCCTTGGCATTCCTTCTCCTTCCCACGCCAGACCCTCAATCCAAACCTATATTTATCTCTCTCCCCTTCTCCCTCCCCCCCCCTTCCCCCTTTTTCTGCAGCTTTCTTGATAACAACAAGCTCACTGGTGCCCTCCCTGCCGCCATATCATCCCTCGTGTCGCTCAATTATGTGTGAGTTAACACCACCTCAGAAGCCATATCATCCCTCGTGTCGCTCAATGTGTGAGCAGCACCATGTGTGAGCAGCACCACGTGTGAGCAGCACCATGTGTGAGCAGCACCACGTGTGAGCACCACCGCTATCAAGGCTTTGAAGCAGCACCTTGCTTCTCCTCCACTATTCCCTCCCCTCCCCCACTTCCCTCCTCCCTTCTGGCTAAGTCCCGTCCCGTCCCTCCTACCTTCTCTCACCACCCTCCCCACTCAGCTCTCTAAGCCACAACTCCTCTCTCTGGTCTGCTCCCCAACCTTGGTGACTTTTGAGTCAACTCAAAAAGCCACCTCGTCACCACCATGTCGACCCTTCTCCCATCCCTCCCCCCACTCAGCTCTCTAAGTTACAACTCTCTCTCTGGCCCCCTTCCCAACCTTGGAGCTCTATCAAGCCTCGAAGTGCTGTACGTGTTACCGCACTGCGGGCTTCACGTGTTACCGTGTTACAGCGTGAGGAGTCTATTTTTTAGGCGCCTCATAAATAGAATCTTCCCGTGTTACCGTGTTACAGCGTGAGTAGGTGTTGCTATGCTCCGTTCTTCCTTCCCTTCTTCCGTTCTCCCAACCCTTCTTGACCAGTGAATTATCCTTATAACTACCTTGCTCGCTCTATTGTCCCTTGCCAATCCTTCACTCCTGTACTACCCGGAAGGTGCTGTACTCCCCTTCCCACCCCACCCCACCCCCCCCCCCCCCCCCCCTCCCCTGTCCCCTGTTCTCCTCTCCTTCCCCCTGTGCCCAACGAGCCAGCTCGCCCACAATAGATTCTCAGGCGCCCTCCCTCCTTCCCTCTCCCCTAAACACCCCTCTCCGTCCTCTCTTGACCCCCCCTGCTCAGCTCCCCTGTCCCCTATTCCCCTCTCCTCCCCCCTGCGTCTCCCACCAGCCAGCTCGCCCGCAACAGTCTTTCAGGCGCCCTCCCTCCTTCCCTCTCCGCCCTCACTAACCTAGCCGTGATGTGAGTGACCTCCGGGGGACTCTCCTCCCACAATAATCTATCCTGGCGCCATGCAACCGGTTAGGAATTGGGAATGGCTAGCATAGTCCCAGCCCAGGGGACCCTGCCCACCTCCCCTGAGTTAGGATTTTACCTAAAGGAGGTGGGGAGGTGTTTCCTCATGCCCCTCTCGTCCCCTCATGCCCCTCTCCTCCCCTCATGCCCCTCTCGTTCCCTCGTCATCCCCATCAGAGACATCTCTTCCAACGGTCTTTCCGGCTCCTTACCTCCCTTCTGCACCCAAGAAATGCTCGCTCTAAACACGCTGTAAGGCAACATGCTCACTTCCTCCTCTTATCATTCCCTCCCTTCCTCACTCCCTCCCTTCCTCCCGCCCTCCCTTCCTCGCTCCCTCCCTTCCTCCCGCCCTCCCTTCCTCACTCCCTTCCTTCCTCCCGCCCTCCCTTCCTCACTCCCTCCCTTCCTCCCGCCCTCCCTTCCTCACCCCCTCCCTTTCTCCCGCCCTCCCTTCCTCACTCCCTCCCTTCCTCACTCCCTACCTCACACACGTGACCCCTGCAAACCCCCCTCAACTTCTCTCACACCAACCCCCCCTTTTTCCCACTCCACTCCCCTTCACCTTCCCCCATCTCTCCTCTCTCTTGAGCAGTAGCTAGCATTGAGTAGTCAGTTTCTCCTCTCCTCACGTTGCCTTCATCTCTTTTTCTGCCTTTCATTATCCACTTCGCGTTCAGTACACGGGAGACATTCATTCCCCTTCCCCTTCTCGTGTGTAATAAGTCGATTTTTTAGTCGACTAAAAAATCGACTTATTATTACACACGTATTCATTCCCCTTCCCCTTCTCTCACCCCCGTCCCCTTCTCTCACCCCTCCCCCAACCAGCAGCTTATCCACCAACAGCTTGAGTGGCCAGATCCCCTCTCGTTCGACTCAGAAGTCCGCTCAAAAGACCATGGCACCCCAGTGGTGTTCACTTACTCCCCTTCTCTCACCCCTCCCCAACCAGCAACCTGTCCACCAACAGCTTGAGTGGCCAGATCCCCTCCTCCCTCGCCCTCTGCACCTCACTAGTCACTCTGTAAGCTATCATGCTACCTCAATGCATTTTTACTCGCGATTTTTTGTTACGCAGACCACTAGCCTCTACCCACTTTGTATAATCTCACTCACAATTGATGTTACCCCAACCAAACCATTTGCCTTACTAGTCACTTTGCAAGCTTGCACTAGTCACTCACTATCCATGTTACTTCAAACCACTATCCTCACTAGTCACTCTAACCCCCTCTCCTTCCCTATCCCTCTGCTCCCGCTCCCGGCTTCCACCTCTTCCTCTCAGCGATCTAAGCTCCAACACGTTTAGTGGGGTGCCTGCAGACGTCAAAAGGCACAGAAGCTCTCCCTCCCTCCTCCCCTTCCCCCATCCCTTTTGCTTCCCACTACTCCTCCCAGGGATCTCAGTGCCAACGCACTTAGTGGGGTGCCTGCAGACGTCATCACCGCACTCCCCAATCTGGCTGCGCTGTAAGCAAAGCACCCTTTCTGCACCTCGTCTTACAGGAAGAAGATTTCGGGTAGGATCTGTTAGCAGCTGTAAGCACCCTTTCAAAAACACCGTGCAAAATCTAGGACTTCGTTATCCTTGGTTTGTTACAGCTTGGAAATTACCAAGGAAGATTTGTAATAGATTAGTATGAGCGAAATTAGTGTAGAAAGGAAATTGTAACCAGCTGGTTGCCTCCCAATATTGGGGACGAACCTCCTGGAATGTCCTCTCTGCATGTTTACTTGCCAAACCTGACAGCTAGAACTGGTAGCTGGCAAAGCGCTCCACTGGAGCCGCGATGTCGAGATTGTGATGGCTCAACTTCTTAGAGCCTACACAAGCGAGGAACGGAGTAGAAATAGATCGTAGTCAGTCTGTTTGACTCTTAGTGCGCTGATGAAGGCCTATTGCTGGCCGAAACGCGTTCGCACGCAACATCCGGGCCTATTGTGTCTGGCGTTCTGACTAAGAAAATTTCCTCTTACCTTTCTCGCCGTTAATCTTAGTTCTAGACCTAGATCTACCCTTAGGAGGCTTTGCTGCAGATCGAATAAAACTATTTCCCACCATCCCCTCCCTCCCATCTCCTCCCTCCCATTCCTTGCCTAGGCTCCATTGGTCTCTACGTTCCCTTCATAACTACCTTTCTGGACTCCCCCCTCTTTTCCTTCCCCCTCCTTTTCCTCCCTCTTCATTTCCCTCTCCCCCACTCCCTCTCCCTACCAGAAACCTCGCCCCCCCCTCCCATCCCTCCCACAGCAACTTCTTCACTGGCCGCCTCCCGCCCATCCCCTCGCCCGAGTCTACCGTGCTCTATGATGTCTTTTATACCTCCTCATACGGCCCCTCCCCTTTCGTCCCTCCCTCTCCCTTCCCCCTCTCCCCAACCAGCAACCTGTCAAGCAACTTCCTCACTGGCCGCCTCCCGCCCATCCCCTCGCCCGAGTCTACCGTGCTCTATGATGTCTTTTATACCTCCTCATACGGCCCCTCCCCTTTCGTCCCTCCCTCTCCCTTCCCCCTCTCCCCAACCAGCAACCTGTCAAGCAACTTCCTCACTGGCCGCCTCCCGCCCATCCCCTCGCCCGAGTCTACCGTGCTCTATGATGTCTTTTATACCTCCTCATACGGCCCCTCCCCTTTCGTCCCTCCCTCTCCCTTCCCCCTCTCCCCAACCAGCAACCTGTCAAGCAACTTCTTCACTGGCCGCCTCCCGCCCATCCCCTCGCCCGAGTCTACCGTGCTCTATGATGTCTTTTATACCTCCTCATACGGCCCCTCCCCTTTCGTCCCTCCCTCTCCCTTCCCCCTCTCCCCAACCAGCAACCTGTCAAGCAACTTCCTCACTGGCCGCCTCCCGCCCATCCCCTCGCCCGAGTCTACCGTGCTCTATGATGTCTTTTATACCTCCTCATACGGCCCCTCCCCTTTCGTCCCTCCCTCTCCCTTCCCCCTCTCCCCAACCAGCAACCTGTCAAGCAACTTCTTCACTGGCCGCCTCCCTCCCATCCCCTCCCTCGACTCTTCCGTGCTCTATGACGTCTCTTATAACTACTTCTACGGCCCTGCTGACGTCACTGTAGCAGCCCCCACCGCCACTGGTAACACTGGCAGCGGCAGCAGCAGCAGCGGCGGCGGCAGCAGCAGCAGTGGGAGCGGTGGGAGTGGCGCTATTAGCAGTGGCGTCAAGCCAAGTGGCGGTGGCACTATTGGCAGCACCGGCAGCAGTGCTGCTGCTACCACCGTTTGCAAGTCCTCTTTCCCGGATCCTTCCTCCTTCAGCGTTGCTGGCAACTGCCTGGCGTACGCCAGCTCAGCACAGGTCAGCATGAGCTGTCCTGCCACCACCACCGACCCGGTCATGCCCCTGCGCACCTCCCCGTGGTTTTGTCCTCTGGGAAGCAGACAAAAGCGGCAAGTGGGACCAGGGCATACGGAATGCAGCAGGTGCTAGTTCAGCAGGAGGCAGCGCAGCAGCAGTGGTGGCAGTGGTGGGGGAATGGCGGAAAGGAGGGAAAGAGTGAGGCGCCAATGTGGCTTGAGGGTGAGGGAGAGGAGAAAGAAGAGGAGAAAGAAGAGGAGGAGCAAGAATATATGGTGAAGGAAGAGAGAGGCGCTAGGAGTGGAAAGAGGACTGGTAAGGGGTCCAGTCTAAGGTCCAGTAACCGCCTGGTTCTTGAAACCACACAAGCAGAATATGGGCAAGTAGAACCAATGCACGCATCGGCCTATTCAAGCAATCGAGCATCCGTCCTTCGCGACGCTCGATCCAAACTCCATAAATCCCGACCGTTCGATCCGACAGGGGGGCGTGTTGCAGTGGGCTTAGAGATAGACAACAAGAGCTGGAGCCCTTTATGGAGACACGGAGCACTTGAGAACAAGAGGAGGAGCAGTGGGAGTGTGGACAGCAAGACGAGGCAAACAAGACACCACCGAAGAGGCAGGAAGAGAGGCCGTGGTCTTGCAGCTGCTCTTGGCTCTGCAGCCAGTGCAGCAGCCACGCCAGCTGGACCAATCAGGTTGCTCCAAATCGAGACCCAACGGGACCCTGCCACGTGCCTGCTCTTCTGCTCGACCAACCAGATCATGACAGCTGTCCCCCTAATACCAGGAGCCAACTCCCAATGTGGGGGCCTGGGCACGTGTCTAGCGAGCATCCCGGCTGCAGCAGCACCACCTTCGAATAAAGGAAGTGTCAATAAAGGGGGTGCTGCTAATAAGGCCCCTGGGAAGCAGAGTGGTCGGCTGGTCAGCTTCTCATGTGGCTGTGTGCCAGGCTTGGCTATTCCTTCGTCAAATGGACTCTCGTGCACTGCTCTAGGTACGTGCGTGCCTTTGTTCCTTCCAGGTGCCGCAAACATTAGACTCTCGTGTCTGCCCTGTCCTGCTTATGAGTGTGCGTGCTGCCATCCATCGTCTTCCATGTGACTTTTGAGTCGACTCAAAAGTCACCTCAAAAGTCACCTCTGAGTGTGCGTGCTGCCGTCCATCGTCGTCCATCTCCTGTCGTCCATCTCCTGTCGTCCATCTCCTGTCGTCCATCTCCTGTCGTCCATCTCCTGTCGTCCATCTCCTGTCGTCCATCTCCTGTCATCCATCTTCTGTCTTCCGTCTTCCAACTTTCCTCGTCCGTCGTTCTCTTGCCACGGGTTCGTTGGTAGTGTGATGTCAACCGGCCAATAATATTTCTTCCATATGTGCTTCTATAGCTGTATGCCTTCACAAGCTTAGTGTCTCTCGAGGCATGATGTTTCTCTCAGCTTCCACTGTGCTCACTCTCTCCTCCCCCTCTCCCGCCCTTCACTTTCGCCCCCTCCGTGTTTCTCTCCCCTCCCTTTTTCCACCATCCTACTTCACTTGCTGCTCGTCACCCCTCCCACTGCAACCTTCGGTTCCTAGCAGCAAAACCTACTCCTCCTCCCTCTTCTTCTCCTCCTCCTCGCAAGTCACCTCCTCCCCAAGCCGTGCCTATCACTCCTCCACCTCCCTCACTCTCACCTCCCTCACAATCTTCTCCTCCCCCTTTCCTCCCTCCCCCTCTCCTTCCCTCTCCTCCCCTCCCTCACTCCCCTCCTCCCTCATCACCGTCCACCTCCCAACCCTCCCCTCCCCATCCTCCTCCCCTTGCATCTCCCCTAGACACACCAGACAGCCCTCCTCCTCCCCTCCCTCACTCGCCTCCTCCCTCATCACCGTCCGCCTCCCAACCCTCCCCTCCCCATCCTCCTCCCCTTGCATCTCCCCTAGACACACCAGGCAGCCCTCCTCCTCCCCTCCCTCACTCGCCTCCTCCCTCAACACCCTCCTCCTCCCAGCCGTCTCCTCCATATCCTTCCCTCTCCTCCTCACCTCCTCCTCTCCTCCCCTCCTCACCTCCTCCTTCCCTGCAAATTGAGAGTCAAGAGCAGCCCAACCCACCCCCATCCACCTCCGGTTCCCAGCAGCTCCAACCCCCTCCTCCTGCTCTTGCTTCCCCGGCTCCCTCACCCCTTCCATCTCTGACTGGCTCGATACCATCCCCATCCCCTCCTGATGCTGACTCGTTCCTAACTTCATCACTATCCCCACCACCATCACCATCGTTACTATCACCATCACCACCATTACCATCACCATCATTTTTATCACCATCGTCATCACTATCACCACCACCACCATCGCCACCACCACCGCATTCAGAAGCATCAACTTTTAATGTGCAATATTCTCCTCCCCTTACCACTGACTTGTCACAATCCCCCCCTCCCCCTACCACAGACTCGTCACAATCCCCCCCTCCCCCTGCCACTGACTCGTCACAATCCCCCCCTCCCCCTACCACAGACTCGTCACAATCCCCCCCTCCCCCTGCCACTGACTCGTCACAATCCCCCCCTCCCCCTACCACAGACTCGTTACAGTCCCCCCCTCCCCCTGCCACTGACTCGTCACAATCCCCCCTCCCCCTACCACAGACTCGTCACAATCCCCCCCTCCCCCTACCAATGACGCATCACCATCCCCACCCCCACCGCATACCTACCACCTCCACCAGCAACACCTTCACCAGCAACACCTTCACCTGATTCCACCTCACTCCCATCCCCTCCTCCTCCCAGCCTTCCCTCAGCCAGCCAACCACCACCACCGCTGCCACCAATGCCCGACATATCCTCGCTCTCCCCTCCTCGTCTCTCCGGCTCGTTTGAGTCGACTCAGCAGCCCCCTCCTGTCTCCAGCTCCTTATCTCCCTCTCCACCTTCACCACCCTTCCCTGGCACAGCTCTACCCCCCCCTATCTCAGGCTCCATACTCTCAAGCCCTTCTAGCACAAGCCCCCCTCCCCCGAGCCCACCTCCCCCAAGCCCACCTCCTCCCAGTCCGCATAGTCCTCCCCCTCCCAGCTCTCCGCCCCCAAGTTCCCCACCTCCCCACCCCCCCAGCCCTCCCCCCCAAGCCCCCCACCTCCTCATCCCCCCCCTCTATCCCTCCTAGCCCTCCACCACCAACTCCTCCTCCCCCTTCTCCCCCTCCCCCTTCTCCCCCTCCCCCTCGCCCTCCAAGCCCACCGATGCCTCCCCTCCCTCTCCCCACCCCACCCCCCGCCACTGCCCCCACCCTCCCCCCCAAGCCCCCCAAGTCCTCCCCCTAGACCACCAGCTCCCCCTCCCCCTGAAACGTGCCGGTGGAATGGGTCTAAGTGGGTGTGTCCTCCAGGACAAGCTCCTCCGGTTTAATCATGTAAAGTAGACAAATTGTGTGACTAATGAAGCTTAGGTAGTTAATGATAACAATGGTTTTGTGCCAATGGTTTGTATATGGTTTTATGGCTTTGTGCTGTTGAAGCACAACGGCACGCCGTATTGCTCTTTTTTTTTTAAGCCGTATGTTCTCTATCAAGGTGTGCAAAGTTACAAGTGTTAAAATGAGCTAGCTAGGAAGAGGCGCCATGGAATGGCGAGAGGTTTTAGGTGCTAGGAGGGAAATATTGAGAGAAGAGAGTGATTGGAATAGAAGAGAAGGAGATACAAGAAGGGGGGTAGTAACCTCTACAGTAGGATTTAGTAACACCTACCAAGCTTACAATTATATATATGTAATATATATAATTTAGCACACCCCCTAGGCTTGGTAGTCGCAAGCCCACCCCACATGCAACACCTCTAAGCCTAGCACCCCCATACCCTGCAGCAGAGGTGACTGCAGGGAAGGAAGGCGCTAGGCATCCTTGAGCTGTGGCGGGGCGGAGCCGGCTAGCGTGGCGAACTGGGACCGACGCGGCAAGCTGGGTCCGACGCAGCGAGCTGGGACCGACGCGGCGAGCTGGGTCCGACAAGACGAGCTGGGGAGGCGCGGCGAGCTCGAGTGGGGGCTTGCTGCCTGGCGCCTAAACCAGTGCGCGGCCCACTGCCGCCCGTGCACTGACGTGACGACGTCGACACGGCGACACAACGAAGCCGCCACGATGTGGCGTCGAAGCTATGGCAGCACGTCGAGGCTGCCATAGCAGCACGACGAAGCCGCTATGGCAGCACGATACGGCCGCCACGGCGGCACGGAAGTAACAAGAGGGGAAGGAGTACGCGGTGGAAGCATGAGGAGGCGGCCCAGCAGGGCGAACCTCCTGCTCTGAAACCATGTTAAAATGAGCTAGCTAGGAAGAGGCGTCATGGAATGGCGAGAGGTTTTAGATGCTAGGAGGGAAATATCGAGAGAAGAGAGTGATTGGAATAGAAGAGAAGGAGATACAAGAAGGGGGGTGGTCCCCTCTATAGTAGGATTCAGTAATACCTACCAAGCCTATAATTATATATATAATATATAATTTAATAATTAGAACAAGGGAAAATTACATAGTACTATGAGTAATATGGAGTTCGATATTGCTGTGGTGGGATTAGGGTGTGTCCAGCGCGTACGGTTACGGTACATGGAACACGTTTCAGTAGGATACATTACGGTCAGGAAGGGTTTCCACTCTTCACCACGTTGGAAGACCGAGCACCACACTGAATCGCATAAAGTAAATTGAAAACGTACGCGCTAGACACGGCCTTAGGGAGTATTCCGCAGGGAGTGTTAGACCTGAGGGTTTAGCGGGAAGATCCGAGGCTGGAAAAAATTGTCTCGGGTCTTGCGAAAAACAGACGGCTCCAGCCAGTCAGCTGTCAAACCGAACAACTAACAAAGTCGCGCAAATGAACTTCCACCAATCCTAACATCATAAATTTCTTGTGGACTCGAAAAGTTCGGCCAGTATAGTCGCAACCCTCCCCTTGCGACAGTTCGCGATGTTAAGATAGCTAGGTAAGGAGAGAAGCCATGGCTATGGCGAGAGGGTTTTAGGCTAGGAGGAAGTTACGAGAGGAAAGATTATTGGACTAGAAGAGGACGAGATACAGGAAGGAGGGGGTTGTCCCCTCTACAGTAGGATTCAGGAATATAGCAAACCTAATGAGCCTAAATAGTTATATATATAATATATAATTTGACACACCCCCTAGGCTTGGTAGTCGAAAGCACACCACACACGCAGCACCCCCAAAACCCTTGCACCCCCATGTCCTGCAGCAGCGATGATTTCATCAGGAACGGTCGATCTCACGACGTGCGAGGCGGCGACGTCAGAAGCGAGGGCAGCGGCTGCAACAGCGACGACAGCGACGGCGTACGGCGGCGAGGCGCGCGGCACCAGCTGCGGCGGCGGCGGCTTCCATGACAGCGGCGGCGACGGCGGAGCTCGCAGCACTCGGCGGCGTGGCCTGACTCCGCGACGGGGGGAAGGCCCGCGCGAGTCAGCCGTCAGCTGCGGCGAGGAAGAGGGGACGCAGAGGAAAGGGGCGGGGCTTCGGCAGTGGAGCCAGGGAGCGTGCCGCCCCGTGTGACGCGCTGGCTGCATGCGGGCGTGCTGGCCAGCGCTAAGACCGAGCGCTGACCGCTGCCGTCCGTGCGCTGGCGCGTCGACGCCGCCACGGCAGCACGACGACTCCGTCATTGCAGCACGACATGGCCGTGGCGGCGACGCGGAAAGGACAGGTTGGAGGAGCGAACGTTGCGGAAGCGTGATGAGTAGGCCCGAGCAGAAGGACATGCTCTGAAACCATGTTAATATAGCTAGGTAAGGAGAGACGCCATGGCTATGGCGAGAGGGTTTTAGGCTAGGAGAAAGATTCTTGGACTAGAAGAGAACGAGATACAAGAAGGGGGGAGGGGGGGGGTTGTCCCCTCTACAGTACGATTCATGAATATAGCAAACCTACCAAGCCTAAACAATTATATATATAATATATAATTTGACACGCGACTGTGCAGCCGCTGCACCGTCAAGAAAAATAAACCCGCAGTTAGGTTGTGACAGCCCGCGGCTCCTTCGGCCGCGGGTCGACCTCGGGTCGACCTCGGGTCGACCTCGGGTCGACCTCGGGTCTGACACTCGCTGCGGAATCTGCCCTTAGCCTCTCCTGAACAATTTATTTTTACAATTACAAAAACGAATCATCCCATAGCCCTTGATCGGCAGTTCGGATATGTCGTGGATAACCACCCCAGTCAGCTCTTGGTATGGCCCAGGCCGAACGAAGCTCGAATCACCGGAACCAAAAATCTCAGTGAAACCAGCTTTGACAAAGCTGCAAACCTGAGGCTTATTCGGAACCGAACCGAACCTGATTGTTCTACTTACCAGGCTTGGGCCCGTAGCAAGGTGGCCCAGATCCTTCTTAGTTTCTGCTACAGTACCACCAATGCCTACATGCCTTCAGTTCCTTCCTACTCGTCCCCCTTTCCCCTCTGATCTCCCTTGGCAAACCTGTCAGACCACTAAGGGAGCGTCTCGTGCAGCGCTTGTCCGTTAGGGTTGCATCTGGTGGATTCCTAAACGACGCTTAGCTTGGTTGCGCGAAGGAGCCAGCCATGGCGACTTTCGCCAAGCCGGAGAATGCGCTGAAGCGCGCTGAAGGTCAGCAACTGTCTAAGAGTCTCTCTCCCGTTAGCAGCCTCTATTTTTGCCTCTAATCCCTCGATCGGTTTAAGAAACGGGCGTTGACTCTATCGCATTCAGAGAATCTAGGGATTGCCAGACTTGCTTCACGTTTATGTCTCATTTCTTTATAGATACAAGCCATGTCGCTCAGTTTACCCACAAATTACGTTCGTCGCTATAGCACTCTTGACAGCCATGAGAAGACTGTCTTCGGCATTCGCGAAACTAAGTAGAGATATAAACTCGTAGGATTGAGTTACTTTACTAAGAGAGTTTGTTATAATGTGCTAAGCGACACCATGTCTCGCCAGCGACGCCAGGGATCACCCTCCTCATGGAAACGTTCCCTTCCGGTTAGGTTGGCGCGTTTGCATCGCGATGCCTGGATATTGTCGAGTTGCTAAGTTAGCTGGACCCCGTGCTGGTCAAAGCTCTTAGCTAGGCAGCCAGACACCCCTGAAAAGTTCTAGAGCCATCGAGCGAGTTACCTACTTGTTGCCGATAGACTCAGATTGCACGTTCTGTTGTGCTCTACAGCATTGTGCAACGGTAACGGCTCTACTGGAGATCAACGAAGTAAACGTCGAAAGGATCAGGAGGAGTGACCCGCAGTGGATAAGATTTGTATCAAATTCCTTACTGGGGTCAACTCAGTCTGTCGCTGTAGTCTAATCCGTGGATCAACTCACCGCTTCTTTCTCACATCCAAGCGCTACCGCACATGTCAGAAGCCGCTGGAGGGCTTTGGGGCAGTGTTGATCAAACGACCCTCGTTCACCCCTTCCTCCCCTCTCCCCCCCTCTCCCCCTCTCTCCCCCCCTCCGCCTCTCTCCAGAGTTGATGAACGTGGGGCAGAAGGCGGCAGCCCTGCAATCCCTGCACGACCTGATCACGTCCGAGCGCTACGGCACGTGGCAGAAACCATTGGAGTTTCTAGAGGCGCCTCAAGTCTCTCCCCTCCCCCCCACCCTCCCCCTCCTCCCTTCCCCCCCCTCCCAGAGTTGATGAACGTGGGGCAGAAGGCGGCGGCCCTGCAGTCCCTGCACGACCTGATCACGTCGAAGCGGTACCGCACATGGCAGAAGCCGCTGGAGCGCATCATGCTCAAATACGTGGAGCTGTGCGTCGACATGCGCAAGGGCCGCTTCGCCAAGGACGGGCTTATCCAGTACCGCATCGCCTGCCAGCAGGTGTGACTATATGCGGGTGTGGCTGTATGAGAATGTGACTGTAGAGGAGTGAATCGGTTCCTGGAGCGCATCATGCTCAAAATACGTGGAGCTGTGCGTCGACATGCGCAAGAGCCGCCGCTTCGCCAAGGACGGGCTCATCCAGTACCGCATCGCCTGCCAGTAGGACGGTGGGTTGGTGTGACTGTATGCGGGTGTGACTGTAGGGAGGAGTTAATCGAGCGCATCATGCTCAAGTACGTGGAGCTGTGCGTCGACATGCGCAAGGGCCGCTTCGCCAAGGACGGACTCATCCAGTACCGCATCGCTTGCTTGCAGGTCGGTTGGTGTGGCTGTATGAGAATGTGACTGTATTCTTGTGCGACTGCATGCGTGTGTGATTAGTGCTTGTTTTAGAATTGCCACAGGGCTGGTGTGTTTTCGATGTCATCGTCTCCATCACGCGTCCCTCCCCTCCCCTCCCCTCCCCTTCCCTTCCCTCCCCTTCCCTCCCCTCCCCTCCCCTTCCCTCCCCTCCCCTCCCCTTCCCTCCCCTCCCCTCCCCTTCCCTTCCCTTCCCTTCTCCGCTCTTACTCGCTCGTGCTTTCCCGCCCTCCCAGGTGAACGTGCAATCGCTGGAGGAGGTGGTGAAGTATTTCCTCAAGCTTGCCACAGAGAAGGCGGAGCAGGCGCAGGCGCAGGTGGAGGCGGCGGCGGCGGAAGCCGCCCTGGGGGAGGTGGCGGACCTGGACGCGGAGAAGAGCCCCGAGGACCTGATGCTGGGGTTCGTGAGCGGCGAGAAGGGCAAGGAGCGCACGGACAGCGAGCTCGTCACGCCGTGGTTCAAGTTTCTTTGGGAGGCGTACAGAACGGTGCTGGACGTGCTGCGGAACAACTGCAAGATGGAGGCGCTCTACGCGGTGAGTTACCCGGGGGACTGTTTTGCCTGGTGCTTGTGGGCGGCGAGAAGGGCAAGAAGAAGGGAAGGGCAAGAAGAAGGGAAGGGCAAGGAGTGGCGAGGGGCAAGAAGGAGGGAAGCGCAAGGAGCGGCGAGAAGGGCAGGAAGGAGGGAAGCGCAAGGAACGGCGAGAGGAGCAAGAAGAAGGAAAGGGCAAGGAGCGGCGAGTGGGCGCACGGAGTGGCAAGGGGCAAGAAGGAGGGAAGCGCAAGGAGCGGCGAGAAGGGCAAGAAGGAGGGAAGCGCAAGGAGCGGCGAGAAGGGCAAGAAGAAGGAAAGGGCAAGGAGCGGCGAGAGGAGCAAGAAGAAGGGAAGAGCAAGGAGCGCCGAGAAGGGCAAGAAGAAGGAAAGGGCAAGGAGCGGCGAGTGGGCGCACGGACAGCGAGCGAGCTCATCACGCTCTCGTGTGGATTCACCTCCCGTCCTTAGACTTGGCATGTCCGTGCTGCGTTGTTTCGTCATACCGCCGTCCATCTTTCCCTCAACCAGATGACGGCGCACAGGGCGTTGCGCTCCTGCCAGCAGTCCAAGCGCACCAACGAGTTCCGCCGACTCTGCGAGATTCCTAAATTCCTGCTTTCCTTCCTCTCCCTTCACCCCTCCCCCCTCTTTCCCCCTCTTCCCCCCCCCCCCCCCCCCCCCCGGCCCCCTCCCGCCCGCCCCCCCCCCACCACCAGATGACGGCGCACCGGGCGTTCGGCTTCTGCCAGCAGTACAAGCGCACGAACGAGTTCCGCCGCCTCTGCGAGATCCTCCGCAACCACCTGGTGAACCTCAACAAGTACCGCGACCAGCGCGACCGCCCCGACCTCGCCCTGCCCGAGACCCTCCAGCTCTATCTCGACACCCGCTTCGAGCAGCTCAAAGTCGCCACCGAGTTGGGCCTTTGGCAGGAGGCGTTTCGCTCGGTGGAGGATATACACGGGCTGATGCTGCTGTCGAAAAAGGCGCCCAAGCCCCAGCTCATGGCGGTTTACTACGCTCGCCTCACGCGGATTTTCGCCATGGCGGCTGTGGAGACGGATTCGGATGGCATTGGGAGCAGCGGCGGGGGGTCGAGCGGCAGCGCCCGTTTGTATCACGCGTACGCGTGGTATAAGCTGTACCTGTTGCAGAGGAGCTATAATAAGAACCTTAAGGATAAGGACCTGCAGCTGCTGGCTTCCGCCGTGGTGCTGTCCGCGCTGGCGGTGCCCCCGTATGAGCGGTACGCGGGGGGCGCGGGCGCGGGGAAGGGGGGCGCGGAGGGGGAGCTGGCGCGCGAGAAGGCGGTGCGGATGGCGAACCTGCTGGGCGTGGTGGTGGACCCCAAGAAGGACCCGCGCCAGATGGTGAGTCTTGAGGGCATGGGGATGGGTGGAGGCATGGGGGAATGAGGGGATGGGGGGATGGGGGGAATGAGGGGATGGGGGGATGGGGGAATGAGGGGATGGGGGGATGGGGGAATGAGGGGATGGGGGGATGGGGGAATGAGGGGATGGGGGGATGGGGGAATGAGGGGATGGGGGGATGGGGGAATGAGGGGATGGGGGGATGGGGGAATGAGGGGATGGGGGGATGGGGGAATGAGGGGATGGGGGGATGGGGGAATGAGGGGATGGGGGGATGGGGGAATGAGGGGATGGGGGGATGGGGGAATGAGGGGATGGGGGGATGGGGGAATGAGGGGATGGGGGGATGGGGGAATGGGGGGATGCGGGGGTGGGAAGGAGTGGGGAATGGTTGGGAGGGGCTGAGGGGTGAAGGCAGTGCGGATGGCGAACCTGCTGGGCGTGGTGGTGGACCCCAAGAAGGACCCGCGCCAGATGGTGAGAGAGGGGGGAAGGGGGGGGAGAGGGGGGAAGGGGAGGGGAGAGAGTGGCGGGATGGGTTGTGGTGGCAGGAAGGGTGTTTTGAAGCGCGTCTTTGCTGCTGGGCGTGCTGGTGGTGGACCCGAAGAAGGACCCGCGCCAGATGGTGAGAGGGGGGGGAAGGGCGTTTTGCGGGGGTTTTGCGGGGGCATCCTGCGTTGCGGGTGGGGGGAGGGAGGAAGAGGGAATGGGTACCGGGGCGGAAGGAAGGGTTGGATGGGGGGGGGGGGGGGGGTGGGGGGGAGAAACAAGGGTTGCTACAATTAAGAGGGGAAGGAAGAGTTGCAAGGGTGGCCGTTTGATCGTGAATTAACACTGGGAAATCATTTTCTGGGTTCTTAGAAGGCATGCGAGGCTCATACAAGACTTGCAGTGTGTGTCCTCCCCAATCCTCTCCCCAACCCCCTCCCCATCGCCCTCTCCCCGTTGCCCTCTCCCCGTTACTCTCTCCTCGTTTCTCACACTCACTGCAACGTGCCTGCCATTTGCCATTACTGCTCATGTTGTTCGCTTATGGTAGGTTGTGCTGTAACCCTGTAACATTTTTCAGCGCTTTTCCTGTGTCCTCTCTTCTCCCTCCCCCCCTCCCTTTCCCTCCCTGCTTGGTACATGTACTTTCTTTGAACGTGCTGACTGGTAACTGCAACAATACAGCTCTCCCGCTCAGCTCTGCTGCAGGAGATCGTAAGTACCTCGAATTTGCAGGGTGTTTTTGAGAATTCTCAGAAAGTACGACCGCGATGCCACCTTGATCCCAGCTCGCTACACCTGTTGTCTCCAGGCTCCAGCCCCGCACCCCTCCACCCCCTAGCACCATCCGCCATTTTTGAGGCGCCTTAAAAGTCACCTGTTGACTCCAGGCCCCAGCCCCGCACCCCCTCCACCCCCTAACACCATCCGCTCGTCCCATTCTTCCTGTTGCCATCGTCCCTCACTCGCTCATCACCCTTCAAGCTGTTCAAGGACTTCGCCTCGCGCACTCTCTCACTTTGTACTTGTCTCACAACATCTCCCCTTTTCTTCTCAGTCCACCAAGGGCGTGCTGGCGTTTGTGCTGCCCCAAGTGCGCGAGCTGCACCACCTGGTGGAGGTCGACTTTCTGCCGCTCGACCTCGCCTCGCGCGTGCACCCGCTGCTGCAGCGCCTGCCCGAGCTCAGCGACGTGAAGCTGTCTGCCGCGAGCCCCGTGCCCAAGGTCGAGCTGCAGGCTTACACCCCTGCGCTGCAACGCCTGGCCACTCTGCGCGTGCTGCAGCAGGTGAGGCGCACACTGTCAGGGGGTAGCGACGGTTTGGGGTTAGGGGCTGGGGTTGTGTAAGAGGGTGCAGCGCCTGCCGGAGCTGAGCGACGTGAAGCTGTCCGCCGTGTGCCCTGTGCCCAAGGTCGAGCTGCAGGCGTACACCCCTGCGCTGCAGCGACTGGCCACTCTGTGAGTCCTGCAGCAGGTGAGGCACAGGGTGGGAGGGAATCAGCGAGATTCAGGGTTTGAGGTTTAGAAAGGTTGCAGCAGCGCCTGCCAGAGCTGATCGACGTGAAGCTGTCCGCTACGAGCCCCGTGCCCAAGGTCGAGCTGCAGGCGTACACCCCTGCTCTGCAGCGCCTTGCTTCTCTGCGTGTGCTGCAACAGGTGAGGCATGGAGTGGGAGGGATTCGGGGCGCCTTGCTACCCTGTTCACCGAGGTTCAGGGGCTCGGGCTTCGGGGATATGAATAAGGGGCTGGGTTGTAAGAGGGTGCAGCGCCTGCCTGAGCTGAGCAACGTGAAGCTGTCTGCCCCGTGCCCAAGGTCGAGCTGCAAACGTGCCTGCGCTGCGCTGCTGCTCTGCATGTCTTGCAGCAGGTGAGCCATAGATCAGGGTTTGGCAGGAGGGGGGTTTTGGGGTTTGCCCGAGCTAGGCGACGTGAAGCTGTTTGCCGCGCGCCCTGTGCCCAACGTCGTGATGCTCCATGATGTTCCGAACACTAAACTGCCCTCGCCCTCCTTTACATCCCTTGCCCGTTCCAGGCGTCCCAAGTGTATTTTTTAGGCGCCTCAAAAATAGACTCCTCACGCATGGTTTCCCAAACACTTAACTGCCCTCGCCCTCCCTGACATCCCTTGCTCTTTCCAGGCGTCCCAAGTGTACGAGGTGATGACCATCCCGTCTCTCTGCCGCATGGTGCCTTTCGGCGACCTCGTCTTTGTGGAGCGCGTGCTGGCGGAAGCTGTGGGCGAGGGCTTTGTGCACGTCCGCCTCGACTTCTGCGAGGGGACCGTCAAGTTCGGCGCGGATGTGAGTAACGAGGAAAGCATGGCTGTGACAATAGAGGGGTCTGGTGTGAGTATGGGGGGTCAAATGTGATTCGAGAGAGGGAACGGTCTTCTTGGAGCGCGTGCTGGCGGAAGCTGTGGGGGAGGGGCTTTGTGCGCGTCCGCGGCAACTTCTGCGAGAGCACTGTCAGGTTCGGCTCGGATGGGAGTGGGATGAGATGGCGGATGCGAGTGTAATGAGATGGGCGGATGTGAGTGTAATGAGATGGGCGGATGTGAGTGTAATGAGATGGGCGGATGTGAGTGTAATGAGATGGGCGGATGTGAGTAGTGTTCACTGGGGGAAGCTGGGGCTTAGGGGGCACGGTCTTCTTGGAGCGCGTGCTGGCGGAAGCTGTAGGGGAGGGGCTTTGTGCGCGTCCGCCTGGACGTGCGCGAGGGCACTGTCAAGTTCGGCGCAGGTGTGAGTAAAGAGAGGGCACTGGTGGGCCCTGGGGGGGGGGGGTGGGGTGGGTCAGGGTATGCGAGTGTGACTAAGGGGGTGGATGCCACTCTCTGGGGGCAGATGTGAGCATAGTCGTATGCATGTGAGTGGATACGCGTGGTAAGGGTCGAGTTTTGAGGCGCCTCAAAACTAGACTCTTATCACGTAGGGTTACAGATCTGACTGAGGGGGTGGATGTCTCTGGGGGGCAGATGTGAGCATAGGTGTGAGTAGAGGGGGCGGGTGTGAATGTGGGGCGGGCATGGGCTTTGTGAGCGTGAGGCTTGCCTTCTGCTATGGCACTGCCATGCCAAGTCAGCGCTGATTGGGCCTTAGAGGGTAGATGTGAGGGCGTGGAACATGCAGTTCCGAACAGCCTTCGTCCGAACTTCCACACCACACTGTACCACGCGGTTATCTAACTCTGGCCGTTTTGAATACGTCGGAACCGTTTTGAAAATCACTCTACCACTCTGGCCGTCCGGACTTTCAGAAGTTCGGAACTGTATGTTCCACGCCCTGAGTGTGGAGGGGGTTGGTGTGACTCTACAGGGGGGCAACCGCCTGGCCCACCTGTAGAGTCACACAAACCGCCTTGCCACCATGGCTTGCCATCTTGGCCGCTCACTGTGGCTCATGGCCTACACCCCTCCACTTTTCCTCTTCCCCATGCTCCCCCTTCTCCATCCCCCCACAATCCAGGAGCTCGAGTCTGATCGCGTCCGCAGCCACCTCGCCACCATGGCGCGCCACCTTGACCGCGACGTGGCTCTCATCCTCCTCTCCCTTTCCCCTTTCCCCCGTGTTTACTCTATCCTCCCCTTCCTTCACAGGAGCTCGAGTCCGACCGCGTCCGCAGCCACCTGGCCACCATGGCGCGCCACCTCGACCGGGCTGTAGCCCTCATCCGCCTCAAGGCGCCTGCGCCCGCGCCGGAAGCTGCCGAGCAGCTTCCCCCAGCGGAGGAGATCCAGGCTGCAGTGGAGAAGGAGCACCGGCGGCTGATTGCACGCAAGACGCTCATTGAGAGGCGCAAGGAGGAGGCGGAGCGGGAGGTCATTGAGAAGGTGAGGGTTTCTGGGTTTCGGGTTAGAGGTCAGGGTCCCTGTGTGCATGATGCTAGGAGAAGGCGCACTGGCGGCTGATTGCGCGGAAGACGCTGATCGAGAGGCACAAGGAGGAGGCGGATAGACCGGTGGTTGGTGAGGGGTCGTGTGGGATAAGCCATGCTGACAGTGCGGCTGACAGAGGAGGCTGGGGCACGAGGCGGTGTGCAGAGTCTGCGAGGAGCGAGGAGGAGAGGATTCAACGGGCGTTCTTTCTAGACGTCTCAAACTACTCCTCATTCCCCCCTTCCCCTTTGCTCATCCTCCCCCCCCCCCCACCAACCCCCTTCTTCCCCAGGAGCGGGAGGAGCAGACGGCGAAGCTGAAGCAGCAGCGGCTGACGGAGGAGGCGGAGGCCAAGAGGCTGGCAGCTGAGTCAGCCAGGAGGGAGGAGGAGCGCATTCGACGGGCACTCTTTCTAGATGTCTCAACCTCTGCCTCATTCCCCCCTTCCCCTCCCCTCTTCCTCTCCCCTCTCCCCCCTCCCTCCCCCTTCCCCCCGCCCCCCCCTCCTGTTTTCTTTTCCCCAGGAGCGGGAGGAGCAGACGGCGAAGCTGAAGCAGCAGCGGCTGACAGAGGAGGCCGAGGCCAAGAGGCTGGCTGCAGAGTCGGCCAGGAGGGAGGAGGAACGCATTCGACGGGAGATCGAGGCGAAGGAGCTGGAGGAGGCGAGGCAGCTGCTGCTGGAGTCGGAGAAGAGGAAGGGCAAGAAGGGCAAGAAGAACCTCGAGGTGAGGAGGGGTCAGGGTTTTGGGGTAGGTATGTAAAGTGAGAGGGTTTATAGTGGGGTAGTGGGAAACAGGGGAGGAGGAGCAGGAGGCGAGGCAGCTGCTGCTGGAGTCGGAGAAGAGGAAGGGCAAGAAGAACCTTTAGGAGGAACTAGGCCCAGGGTCGGGTGAGGGGTTTGTATAAATAGCACGGTAGGGTGTAGGATGTGTTAGTGCAAAAGGGAGAGGGGAAGGTCCATTGTCGGCAGCTTACGGAGGAGGCACGTGAGTTGTCTCAAGTCCCTTATCCCCTTCCTCCTTTCCTCCCCCCCCCCCCGGTCCTCCGCCGCCCCTCTGTTCTCCGGCCCCCCCCCCCCCCCCCGTTCTCCGCCGCCCCCCTGTTCTCCCCCCTGTTGTTCCCTTACCGCCCATCCACCCCTGCAGGACACTATGCGGCTGGACAAGCGGCAGCTGATGGAGGAGGCGCTTTCCGAGCAGCTCAAGGAGAAGCAGGAGGCGGAGAGGCGCCTGCAGAAGCTGGTGAGTAGTGCTTGGCTGTTAGGTGGTGTGTGGTTCTCGATCGCACTTGTGTGCCGGGGTACCTCTCTTGGTGCTTTTGGTCTGGGGAGTCCTGGCACTTGCTTTGAAGTGCCTCGCTCTCTTAGCAGCTGAGGAAGAAGCACGCATTTTGGGAGGCCTGGAACTTGCTTTGAGGGAGAAGCAGGAGGTGGAGAGATTTGAAGCCCACGTTTTGGCTTAGCCCTCATTCAGTCTTCATCACCCTCTTGCCCAACTCCTCTCTTCTCCTTCCGTCTTCTCTATCTCCCTCTAGGTCCGCACTCTGGATCACCTGGAGCGGGCACGCAGGGAGGAGGAGAAGCCTGTGATGGAGGCCAGTGCTCCCTCTCTCTCTCCCCTCTCGTCCTCCTTCCCACCTGCTGCCGTCCCTTTGTCGTCTATCTCCCTCAGGTGCGCATTCTGGATCACCTGGAGCGGGCGCGCAGGGAGGAGGAGAAGCCCCTCTTGGAGGCAGCCTACCAGCAGCGGCTGGTGGAGGAGAGGGCGTGGTTCGAGTCTGTGTGGAGGCTAATCATTCTTTCCCTTTCCCAACTCCCTGCCGTCTCTATCTCCCTCAGGTGCGCACTCTGGATCACCTGGAGCGGGCGCGCAGGGAGGAGGAGAAGCCTCTGCTGGAGGCGGCGTACCAGCAGCGGCTGGTGGAGGAGAGGGCGTGGTTCGAGCAGCAGCAGGCAGAGGCGGCGGAGCAGAGCAAGAAGCAGCACGAGCAGGACCTTGCTGAGAAGATCCGCCTGTCGCGCATGCTGGGAGACAAGGTAAGGGAGGGTGGGGGATGAGGTGAGAGCGGTAAAAGGGAGAAGAGAATGAGTGGGAGATGAGGTAGGAACGGGTGGTTGGAGAAGCAGCAGGCGGAGGCGGCGGAGCAGAGCAAGAAGCAGCACGAGCAGGACCTCGCTGAGAAGATCCGCCTGTCCCGCATGCTGGGAGACAAGGTTCGGGAGGGGGTGCGGCTTGGGTGGAAATGTGAGGGTTGGAGAGACGGTGAGGGGATGTGAAGAAGGCTTGGTTGGAGCAGCAGCAGGCGGAGGCGGCGGAGCAGAGAAAGGAGCAGCACGAGATGGACCTTGCAGCGAAGATTCGTTTGTCACATGTGCTGGGAGATAAGGTAAGGGGGGGGGGGGATAAGGTGAGAGCAGGAGCAGGTAGAACTGAATAATTGGGAGATGAGAAAAGCTCTGTCCCGTTCTGCCTCTCGTCTCACCCTGTTCTGGCCTCTCAGGAGGAGTTCCAGGAGCAGGTGGTGGGACGGCGCCGCAGCGAGTACGAGCGGCTGACGAGGGAGAGGGAGGAGAAGGTGGCGGAGCTGGCCGCCTTCCTCACACTCCCTTGCCTTCTCCCAACCCCTGTCCGCTGTTCTGCCTCACAGGAGGAGTTCCAGGAGCAGGTGGTCGGTCGCCGGCGCGGCGAGTTCGAGAGGCTTAAGAGGGAGAGGGAGGAGAAGGTGGCGGAGCTGCGTGAGCTGCGGCGCACGGAGCGGGTGATGCTGCGGAAGAGGGAGATGTTCCGCCGGCAGGAAGAGGCCAAGGCGCTCAAGGCGTGGGAGGAGACCGAGCGGCGCAAGAGGGAAGGTGGGTGGTCTTTCTCTACCCTCCTCCTCCCCGCTCCTCTCTCACACTCCCACTCTGTGTTTCTCTCTCTCTCACTTGCACGCGCGCTCATCATCCCACTCCCTCACTCGGCTGAAGAAGCTTTTTTACGCCCACTCACTGTTTTGCGTGCATCCCTGCGATGCCACCCATGCATCCCTGCGATGCCACCCATGCATCCCTGCGATGCCACCCATGCATCCCTGCGATGCCACCCATGCTACCTGACTCTTTGCACCCCCCATTCCCCCCTCCGCCCGTCCCCTCTTACTCCACCCCCATTCCCCCACCTTCCCAGAGCTGGAGCGCAAGCGCAAGGAGGAGGCGCATCTGAAGAAGCTCGAAACAATGGCAGCGAAGCAGCAGGAGAGGGAGGAGGCGGAGGAGAACCCGCAGGGAGCGGGAGGAAGTGCTCCTAACCCATTCTCTACTTTGCATACATTCTCTTTGCGCCCCCCCACCCCCTATTCGCCAGAGCTGGAGCGCAAGCGCAAGGAGGAGGAGGAGCGACTCAAGAAGCTCGAAGAAATGGCAGCGAAGCAGCGGCAGAGGGAGGAGGAGGCAGAGGAGAAGGCCCGCAAGGCGCGCGAGGAGGTCCTAGCTGCTGCTACCGAGCGCAAAACCTCCGCCTTCGTCCCGCCGGCCCTCCGCGCCCGAGGTGGAGGTTCGGCAGCCGCCGGACCTGCCGGCGAGGCTCCTCCTTCCGGACGTGGAGGTGCGGATGAGGATCGGTGGTCTCGGGACAGGGCTCCTGCCCCTGCTGCTGCTGCTTCTGGTGGTGCTAGTGCTGCGACTGCCTCTGCCGCGCCTGGGAAATATGTTCCCCCTGTTCGGGGTGGTGCTGGTGGTGCTGGGGGTGGGGCAGGAGGGGCAGGAGAAGGGGTTAGGTGGGGCGGGGATCGCGAGCGGGAGGAGCGTGGGCGGGAGGAGCGTGGGCGCGAGGGGGGGTACAGCGGTGCGTTTGGAGGAAGGTCGGCAGGAAGGTATGAGCCTCCGGCTCGAGGCTCAACTGCTGGTGCTGGTGAAAGGGAAAGGCCAAGTGCCCCGGCAGCAGCAGCACCAGCAGCAGCACCAGCAGCAGCACCAGCAGCGGCTGATGCATCGGGTGGTGGTGCACCGAAGAAGTGGGTGCCGCCGCACCAGAGGAACCGTGGGTGAAGTTGCTGAACTGAGATTGAGAGGGGGAAGGTTGGAGGTGTCTCAAAACCAGGCAAAGAAGAGGCAATGCAAGTGCGTGGAGTGTTTCTGGATGAATGCTTTGGACATAGCGCTGGACTGCCTGGCCTCCTGATTCCGAAAATGGGGAGGGAGTGGCCATGCGTGAGGAGTCTGTTTTGAGGCGCCTCAAAAATTGATTCCGAACATGGGGAGAGAGTAGCCAGCCAGCCATGCTCAGGGTGTTTCCGTCCCTTTTCCCGAATTCCAGCCCTTAACAGGAAGTTGCCTCTTTCATCCAGGTCTTTGCAGTGTTCTGCTGAGTTCAGCAGGTTTTTGCTCAATATGTGCTGTGTGCTCTTGGGTGGACTTTTGGCTGAACAGCATGTGGACTGTTTGCCTGTGTGTTGTTAGTGTTAACTGTTGGGCAAAAAAAAAGGCTGAAATCTGTATGGTGGTCTTTGAATGATTTTTTTACATACGGTACTGATACTTGGGAGAAATCCATAGAGCGTGTCTAAAACGAAACGGATTTCTTGAGGGAGCAGTGTGGCATCAGGGTTCACCATCTCCGCTCTGCTCACTCCCATCTCTTTCTAAGTTCCCAACCCTCCCACCCACGCCTCCTCCCCCTCTCCTCCAGCAGCGCCCCTCTGCTATCCGCATCGAACGTCTCAACCGCATCGGACCTCTCAACCGCATCCAACACCTCCTTGGCCGTGCGTCCCGCCATCAGAATGCTAATATTGGCCTAATTTACGAACCCCTCCTGTGCGGCATGGTCAAGAAGGCAGCGAGTCAAAGTGGTACCCTGAAAAAGGGGGTGTGGGATCAGGGTTCCACCACAGCCTTCACCATCTCTTCTTTACTAACTCCATCTCTCCCCACACCTCCCACTTCCCCACTCCACCTCTCCTTCTCCAGCAACGCCCCTCTGCTATCCGCATCAAACCTCTCAACCGCATCCAACACCTCCTTAGCCGTGCTTCCCGCCATCACAATGCTTCTATTGGTCGCGTTCACAAACCCGTCCTGTGTGGCGCGATCAAAGAAGGCGAGCAGCGAGTCAAAGTACCCATTTGCATTGAGCACCGCGATTGGCTTGTCGTGAATACCAAGCTGCGACCAGGTGATCATCTCTAGGAGCTCCTCTAGAGTGCCGTACCCTCCTGATGGGTGGGTGTTGGTGGGAGGGGAGGGAGGGAATAGGAGAGAGAGACAGGCGCTTGGTCAAAGAAGGCGAGCAGCGAAAGAAATTACCCGTTAGGCATTGAGCACTGCGACCTCAAGTGTGTTTTGAGTCGACTCAAACACACACAAAAAAGGCTAGGAGGGACTTAAAGTACCCGTATGCATGGAGGGTGCCATAGCCACCTGCAGAGTATGCGCGTGTGTTGGGAGGGGTGGGGGCAGATAGAATGGGATGCAGACAGTTTCGGAAGCAGAGAGGGTGAGGCCTGGGAATGTGATGGCAGTGGCCATGCAATGGCCATGTGTGAGTTAAGAGTCCGTTGCTGACCTGGCCTTGTTCATTGCTGACCTGGCAAGGCGACGAACGCGTCAGCTGCTTTCGCCATCTCCGCCTTCCGTTCGTGCATGTTGCGCACCAATCGCACCTCGCCAACGGACGGCCCAGATATCTCCTTAGGCACGAGGGCGTGGGGAATTACCCCTAGTACATTCCGCCCGTTTTCGTGCACTGTTCTCGCAACTATACCCATCAGGCCTATGCTACCTGACCCGTAGACCAAATCAAATCCCCGGGCCGCGATTTCCCGGCCGAGATCCGCAGCCGCTTCGGCATAAGCGGGATTTGAGCCGGAGCTCGAGCCGCAATACACGCAGATTCTGCGAATCTTCTGACTAGGGCCGTCTTCCATGTCTGCGACGGAATGAGGAGGTCGCCTCTGCGACGAACTTCGTGCCTCTGCGACTGATTGGGATTTGGTCAAATGGATAGTGCGGGCCGATCGCTGGCTGCTTGGGCTATTCTCTCCGAGATTGCTGAGTTGCCGGTCGGAACGGGAATGCGCGGCGAAAGCGCGACGTAAAGCAACTGGGAAGTGTGTGCGCGGGTTGGGGCGAAGTGCTTGGGATGAAGAGGAGGGATCCAGGCTGGTGGGAGATAATCAGAATGTTGTATTTTATTCGCGTCATTTGTTATTTATATTTTATATGAAAGTGTAACTACTTCGCTAAAAGCAGCGAGCTCGAGCTAACAAAGGGCAAATGTATTCGGCTTGTCCCGTCACCGACCAGAATGCTGAGCTGGCGATGACTCAGCGAGCTGACATGGATGCTGACAGTCCCAGCGGCATGCCATCCAGGCATTTCTCTAGGCTTGAAAGTGCGGACTCGGGAAACTGAACCGCCAGCAAAAGGCTGATTCACAAGGTTCTGGAAACTCTTTGTGCTGATTCGCAAAGAGCCGAATTTGACCTCGCGCTTAGAGAATCACCGACACAGCTCGACGCGAAAAAACGCAGCAGCAGCACTCAGGTTAACGAATGCAAACGTGCCCTGTTTGATCAGATTCCAGTTCTCCCCTTGTCTCGATTGTATCCCAAATTCCTCTTACTTGTCTGTTGGCCCTTCCACATATGATCGAGAGCCTCTCCTCAGCTCATTCAGTGGATATTTTGCTGGGACTTGACAAGTAGATCCCGGCCGGAAGGAGACGCGAAACGCGCTTATCGCGATGCGCGTCGCGTGGTACCTGTCATTCAGAGCGGAAGCAAGGAATTAGGTTCAAGAGCTCTTCTCTCCTCTCTCCAGCTAACGTAGCTTAGGTCGCCTGAGCAAATTCGCTAAAATCAATCGAACTGAGCAGATCTTCGATCTGTGTGTCTGTCCGTTTCTCCCTACGCTTTCTCATTCCTCGAGCCTCTCAGTCGTCGCAGCGTTGGCGACAAACGCAGCGTTGACGACAAACGCAGCGTTGGCGACAATGGCAGCGTCAGCAGCTCTCTCCGCCGCAAGCGTAGCTTCTCAAAAGGGGCAAATCATCCCGGCCTCGCAGCTGCGCAAACGAGATTCCGCCTCCGCCTCCGCCTCCGCCTTGCGTGGAAACCTCTACGTCCAGATAGGTCCCTCGAGGCCGTCGACATTAAGAAGGTCGTCGAATCTCGCCAGCGGAAGAGCCGGAAGCGACGCGTTGGGCAGATATGGCGGTGGTGGCGTATTTCCCCCTGGGAGGATCGTATATTCCGCTAGAACGAAGAGGAACGTGGCCTTAGATAACGAACGCCGCCTGCTAACGACCGCGCTTCCCGCGACCTCCTCACCGCGGCGCCCCGAGGTCCTAACGTCCAAATGCCGATGGCGCCGCCACCACGTTGCTTCCTGCGAACCTTCTTATTCACCTAACTCCCGATCCACCTCGCGGGATTCCGTGATCGCATCAGCTTCCGCGAATCCTGGCGAGATCCTGGCAGAGTCAGCGCCAACGAGCCACAGCGCGCCTCCCCCAGAAGGCACCTCCCTGTCGTCCCCCGCGTTCGTGGTGTGGGGCGCAAATACAGGCGTGGGGAAGACACTCGTCTCCGCGGGCCTGGCTGTTGCGCTGCTTGCGCGAGCTGCGCGGGAAGGGGGCGGGGGAGGGGGCGCAGAAGGGGAGAAGGAGGGGGCGACGAAGGGAGAGAAGGCGGGAGAGGAGAAGGGGAAAGCGGGAGCTTTCATGTGGAGTATGTGAAGCCATTGCAGACGGGATACCCTGAAGGTTAGTTGATAGCGAGAAGAAAGCTGAAAGTGTTTGGTTGAAAGCTGACTGGTTGGTTGAAAGCTTATTGTGGTTGGTTAACTAGAGTGCCAGCTCAACCCCGTCCTGCCCTGCTTGCATCCCCACGCCTTCTCTCGCCGTCTCCCTCACTCCCCCACCCCCTTCTCACTGTTCTTCCAACCCTAAAATATCGTCCAGATTCGGATGCACGCCTCGTGATGCTGGCTGCTGCACACTGCGTTGGCAGCAGCAGCGGCGGGAGCAGCAGCAGCGACGGCGGCAGCGGTGCCACCACAACCACTACCACCACCACCAGCAACAACAACGGCGCCAGCACCACTCCCTCCCATTCGCCCTTCCTGCACTTCACCCTACATTCCCCTAACTACTCTGCCCCCCCCTCCACACACACAATCTCTTCCCAGTCCTCCTCCTTCACAGAAACACAGGAGCCTTTAAATAGTCACCCCTCGCTACAATCACCCAGCGCCACAGTCTCTCTCACCTGCTCCACCCTCTGGGCCTGGAAGGACCCTGTTTCTCCCCACCTCGCTGCCCGGGAAAGCCGGGCAGCTGTGCTGAAATTTCCAGCGGGAGCAGGAGGTCGGGGAGAGGGTGGGGAGGGAGCAGAGGGAGAGGATGCAGGGGGGGCCGAGGGAGGGGAGGAAGGGAAGGGTGAGAGGGCAGAGGCGCGAGACGCTGCTTTGGTGGACGCTGTTAGGTCGTCGATCGGTTGCAATAGGAGCAGCAGCAGCGACAGCAGTGGTCGAGACAGCAGAAGCAACAGCAGCAGCAGCAGCAGATGGGTGTTGATTGAGACAGCAGGTGGCGTGGCGAGCCCTGCGCCCTCAGGAACCCTGCAGGCCGACCTGTACCGGTGAGAGAGCAGAAATTGTTGCTCTGGTACTCTGAGCCGACTTTGGAGTCGACTCAGAAGGGGCCCTGCAGGCCGACTTGTACAGGTGAGAGGGTGCAGAAACGGCCGCTCTGGTACACTGAGTGACTGCGCCCCCTGCCCTGCATGCGTACCACTGCATGGAGAATCTTCAAAACTCGCCAATCTCCCTCTGCAACCCCTTGTCCGTCCCCTTGTCCGTTCTCTCCATCCTTTTTCTTCCTCACTTCGACACTCTATCCCCCCCTCTCATCCCCCCCTCTCATCCCCCCCTCTCATCCCCCTCTCTCATCCCCCCTCTCATCCCTCCCCTCTTTTCGCACTCTCCAGACCCCTGCGTCTGCCTTGTATTCTTGTGGGGGACGGGCGGCTGGGCGGCATCTCGGTCACTGTAGCTGCAGTTGACAGCCTGTCAGGGCGGGGGTATGACGTGGCAGCAGTGGTGGTGTGTGGGGACGAGGAGGGACGGCTGGACAATGCAGATTATTTAAAGACGTATTTGAAGCCAAGAGGGTGAGTGGGGGAGAAAAGAGGATTCATGGTGGGGGGGAGGGTGGGAGGGGGGGGGGAAATAGGGGGAGAGGGGAAAGAAGGGAGGGAGGGGGCAGTAAAGAGGAGGGTTGTGAATTCAAGTGTAATGAGTCTGTTTTTTAGTCGATGCAAGCACACACTCATTACACACAGAAGGGAGGGAGGGGTCAATAAAAAGGAGGGTTGTGAATTCTCAAATGTCTGTAAGAAAAGCAGGGTTCTCATGTCCCGCCCTCCCTCTCCCTTTCATCCCTCCGCAGGATTCCAGTCGTCTCCCTGCCTGCTCTCCCCTCACCACCACCCGAATCTGACTCAACCTCTTCCTCCTCTCCCTCTTCCTCCTCTTCCTCCTCCTCCTCCTCCTCCTCCTCCAGCCTCTTCTCTCCCACCTCCTCTCCCACCTCAAGCACCACTCCCCCTTTCCAGTCCTCCTCTTACTCCACCCTCAACCCGAACCTCCTACATTGGCTCGGCAAAGCAGAGGGAAGCTTCCAGGAACTTGTGCTAGTGTTGGAACAGTACCACGGGGAGAGGTTGCGGGCTCTTGAACAGGCAGCTGAACGGGCACATGAAATTCTCTGGTGGCCGTTCACCCAGCATGGCATGGTGGGAGTAGAGGACGTCACAGTCATCGATTCCCGGGCAGGCGAAAACTTCTCGGTCTTCCGACCGAACCGGACAGAGCTCCAGAAGGAGGTTCGGACCGAGCCTGGGAAGGAGGCTCGGTTGGAGGAGTGGTTTGATGGGTGCGCTAGCTGGTGGACCCAAGGGCCCGGCCCGCTGCTACAGGCGGAGCTATCGAGGGAGATAGGGTCAGCTATGGCACGATATGGGCATGTGATGTTTCCAGAAAACACGCATGCACTGGCTTTGGAAGCTGCAGAGCTGCTATTGAAGGGCGTTGGGAAAGGTGAGCACGGAGTGGGGAGAGATTGGGGTGGGCCCAGGGGCCCGGCCCAAAGCTACAGGCGGAGCTATCGAGGGAGATCGGGGCGGCCATGGCACGATACAGGCATGTGATGTTTCCAGAAAGCACTCATTCGCTAGTGTTAGAGGCTGTGGAGCTGCTGTTGAAGGGCGTTGGGAAAGGTATGGAGGGGTGGAAGAGGGTTGCTGGCGGTGGAAGAAGGTATAGGCCCGTGGCACTGGCGTTAGAGGCTGCTGAGCTGCTGTTGAAGGGCGTTGGGAATGGGGAGATGGGCAGTCATGGCACTATACGGGCAAGTGATGTTTCCGGAGAACGGATATGCAGTAGCGTTATAGGCTGCTGATTGCTGGTTAGGGGCGTTGTGTCAGGTAGTCCAAGCGTTGGGCAAGGCAGGGCTGGCGTTGGGCAAGTTAGCTACGAGGCTAGAGGTCATGTTCCGTCTCCTGCCACGTTTTACCATACCTCCTGTCACCCCCTTCCAACCCCTTTCACCGCACACAACCGCACAGGGTTGGCCTCCCGGGTGTTCTTCTCAGACAACAGGTCAACTGCCATCGAGGTGGCTCTCAAACTGACACGTAACCATCACCATTCACCTCCTTTCATCTCCTTTCACCGCACACCACCACACGTCGTCTCTGCAGGCTGGGCCTCCCGGGTGTTCTTCTCTGACAATGGCTCTACTGCCATCGAGGTGGCGCTCAAAATGGCGTTCCGCTCCTTCTGCGCCCGGAATGGCATCGGGGGTGAGGCGGACTCAGCGGCTGCTGGGGCTGGCAGCAACCCCACCGCTTCCCAGCATCCAGATCTCAAGGTGATTGCTGACAAGAAGTACATACCGCCCTGGCTGTTACAGTGGAGCCATCTTTTATTAGAATTCTCAACGGTGACTGCTGTTATACAGAAAGTAACTACCGCCCTGGCTGTTATACAACCAGCAGCTCGATTTCTTTTAAGCGGCTTAGAAACCACGTGTCATGCAAGGTCCATCCCGTTGTTGGGAATTGACTGTTCAAGCCACGTGTCACCATCCCCTCCTTCCATGCCACGTGTCATCAGGTGATTGCTCTAACTGGGTCGTACCACGGTGACACGCTGGCAGCCATGCACGCCCAGTCGCCCTCCCCGTATACCTCCTTCCAGCAGCAGCCATGGTGAGTGCTTGCCACGTCAGCAGCCATGGTGAGTGCTTGCCACGTCAGCAGCCATGGATGCTCAGGCTTTCTCCCCTTGCACCTGTGTTAGGTTTCTAATTAAAGCAAATTAAATTATACTATACTATATTATTACGACTTATAACAGCACTCCCATCTCCGTGCTGCCACACCCCGCAGGTACGGAGGCAAGGGCGTGTTCATAGACCCCCCAACAGTGGAGTACTCCCAAGGCCAATGGCGGGTCATCCTGCCTCCGTTGCTTTCCTCCTCCTCCCCTACCACACCCCACCTCTTCTTCTCCTCCTGCACCGACGTCTTTCACACTCAGAGGGACTCCTCCCCTCTGGCTCACCACTACCACTCCTACATTCACCAGCAGCTGAAGCCCTACCTCCTCCCCTCAGCCTCCTCCTCAGGTGGCCCGTCAGGTGCTCCATCAGGTGTTTCTTCAGGTGGTTCTGCAGGGGGTCCGTCAGCCACCCTGCTGCCAGCTGCCATGGCCGCTGCACTTATCATCGAACCAGGTGTGTGGGGGCATCTCATGCCATCTCATGCCATCTCATGCCATCTCATGCCGTCTCATGCCATCTCATGCCATCTCATGCCATCTCATGCCATCTCATGCCATCTCATGCCGTCTCATGCCATCTCATGCCATCTCATGCCATCTCATGCCATCTCATACCATCTCATGCCAATCATAGTGATATTTCTTTCTGAAGCGTTTCAAATATGGAACGCACATCCATCCCATGCCCAAGCCCATGCCCATGCCCATGCCCATGCCTAAGCCCATGCCCATGCCCATGCCCACCCCATGCCCATGCCCATGCCCATGCCCATGCCCATGCCCATGCCCATGCCCATGCCCACCCCATGCCCATGCCCATGCCCATGCCCATGCCCATGCCCATGCCCATGCCCAAGCCCATGCCCATGCCCATGCCCACCCCATGCCCAAGCCCATGCCCATGCCATGCCCATGCCCATGCCCACCCCATGCCCATGCTCATGCCCATGCCCACCCCATGCCCATGCCCATGCCCATGCCCATGCCCATGCCCATCCCTACCTACCACTCCATACTGCTACAGTGCTGCACGGAGCGGGCGGCATGGTAATGATCGACCCGCTGTTTCAGCGCACTCTCGTCTCCTTCTGCCGCTCCCATTCCATCCCGGTCATCTTCGATGAGGTCTTTGCTGGCTGCTGGCGCCTCGGCTCCCAGGTGGGACCAATGGGGGCTAGGAGAGAACAGGAGAAAAAGGGAGAGCGTGTGTAGTGACCTCTTTCCCTCCTCAGCTCCCACGCTACCTTCCCAGTCAGTACCAGAGCTTCTAGGCTGCTTCCCCCACATTGCCTGCTACGCCAAGCTGCTAACAGGTCACTATTTTCCGCTCCCTCTCAACCCCTTCTCCCTCCACCCCTCTTCCCTTTTCCCACTCCCCCCCTCTCCCAGTCAGCAGCGGAGCTTCTGGGCTGCTCTCCGGACATAGCCGGCTACTGCTGACAGGCCACTTCTTTCCCCTCCCTCTCAACCCCTTCCCGCCATCCCTCCTTCCCCCTCCCCCCTCCCTCTCCCCCCATCCCAGTCAGCAGCGGAGCTTCTCGGCTGCTCCCCGGAAATAGCCTGCTACGCCAAGCTGCTCACAGACGGCTTCTTCCCCCTCTCCCTCACCCCCTTCCCCCTCCACCCCTCCTCCCCTTTCCCACTCCCCCCCTCTCCCAGTCAGCAGCGGATCTTCTGGGCTGCTCTCCGGACATAGCCTGCTATGCCAAGCTGCTGACAGGTGGCATGATCCCATTGGCCGCCACGCTCGCCTCGGCATCTGTCTTTGATTCCTTCTATGGCTCCTCCAAGGTAAGTTGCGCATGAGTTCCGAGGAGCGTCTTCACCGAGTGATGTCAGTTTTGTTTTGAGATGCCTTCAGGTATTATTAGTATGGCTCCTTCTTCCAAGGTGAGTTGCGCATGAGTTATGAGGAGCGTCTTGACCGAGTGATTATAGTTGAGTTTTGAGACGTCTCAAGACGTCGGGCATGAGCTCTTCCGACGTACCTTGGAGGAAGGTTCCTTCTAAGGCTCCTTCCTCCAAGGTACGTCGGGCGTGAGCTCTTCTGAGGAGCGTGTTGACCGAGTGATCATTTGCTGTTTTGAGACGTCTCTAAACTGCTTCCTTCTATGGCTCCTCCAAGGTACTGTGGTCTCGAGTTCTGAGGGGAGTCTTGACCGAGTGATAATCCCTTCTGAGATTCAAAGGAGCGGTCGTCTATGGCTTCAGACGACCGCTCCTCCTCTCAAAATGATTCCTTCTATGGCTCCTCCAAGGTTTGTTGGTCTTGAGTTCAGAGGAGCGTCTTGACCGACGACAGCTCTGACAGGTATTTTTGAGTCGACTCAGACCTCCCGATGGGGACTGACTGACAGGTACTTTCTCGCTCAGCAGCAAAACTGTCTGTGCCTGACCGTGCTGGCAGCGTGCTAAGTGCCTGTAGGCACAGATGGTTTTTTTCCACCAACCTGAGGGGTTCCTGGGTATTGTGGGAGGTTCCTGAGTACTGTGAGGGGTTCCTGAGTACTGTGAAAGGTTCCTGAGGGGTCCCTGGGGTTTTTTCTCTTTCTGCTGAACACATCCTTTCCGGCTCCTTTCTCCCATGCCTCATCCAACTCCTTTCTCCCATGCCTCATCCAACTCCTTTCTCCCATGCGACATCCAACTCTTTTCTCCCATGCCTCGTTTCCTCCCTCCACTCTCTTTTTTTCTCAATCTCTTCTACTACTCATGCCAGTTGGACGCCTTGTTACACGGCCACTCCTACACCGCCCACCCCGCCGGTTGTGCGGCTGCCTGTGTGGCTCTTAAGGCGCTTTCAGACCCCGCTCGCAACCCCAACCTCCTTCCGAACGGCTCTCAGCTAAAAGAGGTACTTAGCCCAACTGCAACCCACGCTGTGCGGCCTAAGAGCAGTACTTAGCACATTGTGCTCCTCTCTGCCTGTACCAAAGGTTGCATCTCAACAACATAAAAGCGCACTGAAGATGGTTATAAACTTTCTTTGGTACCTTCCTCCTCTCGCTTGACCTCACCCCCCCCAAACGGTCAAAATTCTCAAAATCCGATCAATTCTCTCCCATTATTGGCATCAGCTGTGGGACCCCTCGTTACAGTGCGTGTTGGCTACATATCTCAACAACACTACTCATTTCGTCCCCCTCACAAACTCCCTCTTCTGTACGATCCCTCCCATCACCCGCTGTCAGCTGTGGGACCCCTCCCTAGTGGAGCAGATCTCCAACTGCCCTTCAATACAGCGCGTGCTGGCTATAGGCACAGTCTTCGTTGCTGAGCTCAAGACAGATGGCGCTGGGTGAGTGGCAGGCGGGGGTTCTGGTGTTTTAGTGTGCAGATGGGTTCAGTGAGGGTTCATATGGGTGCGGCATCTGGGTTAGTGTCCTGCTCTGTCTGATCATGATCTGCAGTCGTCATACTCGCTGTGTTTTGGATGCTGCAGCTGACGCGACTTATCAGTCTCGTCTCGAGCAACTGTCTCCACACCCGTCCCTCCACACTCAACTTGATCTCACTAATTCCTCCCCCTTCCTGCTCTCCATATACGGCTTCTCTCCCCACAGGTACGGCTCAACCGCAGCCAAGGGTCTGCTGGCAAGGCTGTGGCAGCGCAGCCACTGCACCCCTCCCCCCCCATTCCACCCGATCTCACTATTCCCCCCCCCCTCCTCCCTTGGTTCCTATATCCCCCTTCTCTCCCCACAGGTATGGCTCAACGGCAGCCAAGGGTCTGCTGGCGCGGCTGCGGCATCACGGCATATACGCACGGCCACTGGGCAATGTGGTCTACCTCATGTGTGGCCCCTTCACCCCTCCTGCCGCATGCTCCCGTCTACTGCGCACCCTCCTAGCGCTGCTGGAGTAGACATATGATGCAGCGTTGCACTGGTCTGTCCGTGCTCTTTATAAGGCGCTTCAAAAATAGACTCCTAGCACTGCTTGAGTATACACGTGACGTGACGCAGCGTTGCTGTGATTTGTTGTGTTGTAATGACTAGGGAGGGACCAATAAAGGTGGAACTGTACTACACGTTCTACAGCGATGTTAGCATTATGACGTTTTAGGTGGGAGCAGGCTGTCAACTCAAACATATTTGCATATGTAGCAGTTATAGGCTAGAAGGGTTTGTGCTCTTAGAGAGTACAACACCCAACCATATATTTCCTTGTACCGGTATGTCTACATTCTAGTCATTCTGTTACTCTGAGACAGGCATGGTAGGTGGGTACCAACCAATGCCAATCTACAGTCTACCAGGAAATGAACAGGGAATGCTTTTTTGAGGCGCCTAAAAAATGAACAGGGAATGCGTGTGTGGTATGTGATGGAAGGGTGTGGCATGGCATGGTTCGGCTTAGGGTGGGATGGGTTGTGCATGGGTTGTGATGGGATGTCAGCAGCATGGCATGATACGGCCATGTGTTCATGTCGTTTGCGAATCCCAGTGCATGTGGGTGCATGGCATGGCATGGCATGGCTGATGGCTGAGGAGGCGCTGCTGAAAAAGCCATGTCGGTTTAGAAACACTGCATTCCACTGTCCACATCAGCTGACCCAAAAAATCCCACGTCCCACATCAACCGTACCCTGTCCAGCGGCTGCACTGCACGACTTACCCTACAGAATACCCCTCGCCCTACAGAAAAGAGCCCTTCCTAAGAAGGGCACCGGGCCTAGAATAAGCAAGTACCACAATAAGCTAAAGAGAGCGCTGCTGATCCCCAACAGTGGTCGTCACTGCTGCTCCTGGCTGCCTGCCCCTGTGCCTTAAGGCTCCCTCCCAGAACCCATGGGCAGAACCCAAAGGAGGTTCTCTTCTGCACAAACAACTGCAGTCCCATGGGCATACCACTAACACACCACAGCTGCATAGCAATCTGCATAGGGCCACGAGGGCTATGGAGATCCATAGTCCATTCAGCCTGCCGTAAACTCCTTAACCGTTTGGTGTTCCTTCCGGCAAATCTCTTATCGCCGAGCACGGGGGACCGGCTCCTCTCCCTCTCCTTCCCCACATCCCCTCTCACCGCACGCCGCTCCGGGGACTGCACCCGCCTTGCCGTCTCCTCCCTCCTCTCGCCATTCCCTCTGCTGTTGTTGCTGCCTTCTCGAAGCCCCCCGATAGCTTCTCCCCCTTTGCCTTTCTCTCTCTCCCTCTCCCTCTCCCTGTCACTATCCCTGTCTTGCCCCTTTCCTCCTCCTCCACCCCCCTATCGCGCCGCTCCTTCCCCTCCCTCCATCCTGCCCCCCCCGTTCCCGCTCCCCAGCTTCTCCCTGCCGCGCTCCCTCCCCTTCCTCCGCTCCCTCTCCCGCATGATCTCCCTCTCTCGCGCCCTCTCCAGAGCCCGATCCTTCTCCAAGTCCCAGTCTCTGCCCCCGCCTTCCCATCCTCCCTCCCTCTCACCCCAAACATCGGACCATGCCCTCCAAGCCCTCCAATCCCCCGTGCCCTCCGTGCCCTCCTCGCCCCATAGCACCACCCGCACATCCCACCCTGCCCCCTGCCCATCCCCTCTCCCTCCCCCCATCCACTCCCTCCCCCTCCCATGGGCTCCATCCCATACCCGCCCTCCAGTCCCATATACTCCTCCCTCGTACTCAACCCCTCCTTCCGCCATCATACCCCCTCCACCACTCCCCATCCCTTCTCGAGATCTTGGTCGTTCATCATACTCCCCCCGCCGCCCGCTCCCCCTGCCGCCATCCCCCCGTACTCCCTGCTGCTACCAGCACCGACCCTTGGCAGAAAACCAACATCCCTACCACCTCCTCCCGCCATGTGCCCTTCGGAAAGCCCATGCCCGTCTAGAATACCAAACCTGGGTCCGTCAACTCCCCCTCGCATGCCTCCCAGGGCGGGTGGATGGGGATGGGGGACCCCCCATGCGGTGGAGGGGGAGGTCTGGGGGGAAGGGTAGGGGGACTATGGGGGCTGCTCGCGGCGGGGCATGCCGCACTGGTGGCAGCGGACGCGGCGGGCGAAGTTGAGGTTGCCACACCTGCAGGAGGAGGAGGAGCAGGAGGAGGACCAGGAGAAAAGCCAGGAGATTGGGCGGCAGAAAGGCGTTGCCAAAGAATGAAGCAGCTTCGCTGCCTATGCAACGCAACCCACCCACTCAGAGTTTCCCAGGCGGATTGCTGCTGGTTTTTTGAGGCGCCTCAAAAATCGTCTCAGAGTTTCCTAGGCGGATTGCTGCTGGTTTTTTGAGGCGCCTCAAAAATCGTCTGAGAGTTTCCCAGGCGGATTGCTGCTGGCTGGAGAGTCAACTATCTACAAGGTGCCCCGAGACTGTACATTAACCCCGAAACCCTGACCGGAAACCTGTACAACGGATTTCGGCTCCTGTGTTTCGCGGCACCCAAGCGAAGTTCTGATTGGTCAACCCACCTGTCGTTTCACTCCTGCTACTCAGCTTCCCCGTCTGGCCCACCCTTCCCGCGCACTAAGTCGCGACCC